GACAAATCAACCCAATTCAACCCCAATCAGTCCAAGCCGATCCAGCCCTGCCCAATCTACCTCTGAACCATGTCCTGAAATGCTGCAGAACCATGTTCCAATACCCGACCGGCCTGCTGACCAGCACCCTAACCCTTCCCAAAATCCAACTTCAGCTTCTCCTTGCCCATCTCCCTCTGCACAAACTATCCCAACTCCATCCTCCCATGACAGGGAGCCCAATCTGCCCCTATCTCATACCCAACAGCCAACCAAGCTACATCCCATGACCACTAGGCTTCAATCCTGACTCCACCCTAAGCAACTCAACCTTGCCACCTAGCATCCCCCTCTGCCTGACATAATTCCCTCATGTGTTTCTCAAGCTTTGCAGGTACCACACTGGAGGGCTGCTATGTACGAGGAGTTCAACGCTCTTATGGATAATGGAACTTGGGATTTGGTCCCGCCAGCTTCTAATATGAACATTGTTGGTTGTCGATGGGTATTTCGAGTTAAGTATCACCCTACTGGTGCTATTGAGCGCCGCTACAAAGCACGTCTAGTTGCTAAGGGTTTTCATCAACATCCTGACATTGATTTCTCTGAGACATTCAGTCTCGTTGTAAAACCAGTAACTATCCGGATTGTTCTTGTTGTTGCCCTCTCTCGGGGCTGGATGATTAATCAGCTTGATGTGAACAACGCCTTTCTTCATGGGCAGCTTTCGGAGGAGGTTTTAATGGCTCAACCTCCGGGTCTTGTTGACAAAACTCGTCCTGATCATGTGTGTCGTTTACAATGATCTATTTATGGCCTGAAGCAGGCCCCCCGTGTTTGGTATGAGTCATTGAGCACCTTCTTGCTAACTATGGATTTTCACCAGTCACTTGCAGATGCTAGCCTCTTTACCTATAATCAGGGTGATCTTCTGATGTACATCCTTGTATATGTTGACGATATCATTATCACTGGAAGCTCAGCTGCTGCCATTAGACAATCTATTCATACCTTGGCTACAAAATTCAAATTAAAGGACTTGGGCTCATTACACTTTTTCCTTGGTGTTCAGATTCACCCTTGTGCTAATGGACTAATTTTAAGCCAAAGCCATTATATACATAACATCTTACTGGCTACGAAAATGCAGGATGCTAAACCTATCTCAACGCCCATGATGTCCTCATTTCAGCCGGTTTCAACCAGTCCTCCATTAACAGATCCTTCGCTTTTCCGGCACATGATTGGCTCTCTCCAATATCTTCAATTAACTCATCCTGACATTGCCTTTGCAGTTAACCGCCTAGCTCAACGAATGCAAGCACTCACAGAAGATGATTGGACTGCCCTAAAGAGAGTATTACGGTATCTCAAAGGTACCATCCAGCATGGTCTTTTTCTTCCAAAATCTGTTTCCCTTTCTCTATCAGCTTACAGTGACGCTGATTGGGCTGGTGATCACACAGATCGTTGTTCTACCAGTGCCTACGTGGTGTTTCTCGGGCCATGCTTGCTTTCTTGGAAGTCATTTAAACAAAGGACAGTTGCTCGGTCATCAACTGAAGCTGAGTATCGTGCACTAGCGTCAGCCACAGCTGAGGTTGCCTGGGTTCAATCTCTCCTCTCAGAGCTTCGAATCTCAATTCCCGATCCTCCAACTCTGCTATGTGACAATGTCAGTGCAACTTACACCTGTGCAAACCCTGTTTTTCACTCCCGCATGAAACACCTCGTCATAGACTATCATTTTGTTCGGCAGCATGTTCAGAAAGGATTGCTTCGCGTTCGCCATGTGCCCTCTGTTGATCAACTCACCGATGCACTGACTAAACCGCTTTCTTGTGGTCGTTTCCTTCTCTTACGTTCCAAGCTCAGGATTGCTCCTGCCACTCCTGGATTGAGGGGGCATGTAGAAGGAAAGTAAATCTTTCCTTGTAACTATTAATTCTGTATATTTATAGAAGGAAAGTAAATCTGTTCTTATTACCAAATATTCTGCAGATTATATTCAAGATATCATTTGTAATTATACTAAATATTTAGTTACCTTAATTAGCTGTTCATAAACTGTATATATGTAACCATTCTACAATCAATAAAATTATCTCTTCTCACTCTCTTATAGTTTATACCCCTGTTTCACTGGTGCTTTCATCCTCGAATATGGTGGAAGGTACTCGTCTGAAGGAGTAATCTGCGAACATAACGAAGATGATGGAAATGCTGGAAAAAGATTAGCGTGAAAACAATATGAGATTTTGAAACACTTGAGGCTACTCTAAGCGCACTGTTGCAGACCACCAAAACGGTTGATCCTCAAAATGACCACGAAGCAGGAAGACATTCCATAAGCAGCAGCTCAGTGCGAAATGTTAAACTGGATTTTCCACGCTTCGATGGATCGGAGGTTCTTCAGTGGATATTTAGGGCAGAACAGTTCTTCGATTATTACGGTACACCAGATGCTCAACGCCTCACCATTGCTGCCATTCATATGGAGAAAGAGGTAGTTCCTTGGTTCCAAATGACTAATAGATCTACTCCATTTCACTCCTGGAAGGATCTAACTCGTGCCCTAGAACTTGAATTTGGTCCATTGCCTTACGAGGGTACTAGATTGATCTTATTCAAGCTATCTCAAACAGGTTCAGTTCATGAGTATTACAACCAGTTTACTGCTTTAGCCAATCGAGTCCAGGGTGTGACTAGTGAAGCTTTGTTGGATTGCTTTGTGGGAGGGCTGAAATCTGATATTCAAAGGGAGGTAATCGCTCAATCACCAACGACATTACTCAAGTGTGTGTCATTGGCAAAGTTATTTGAGGAAAAAATATCAATACACACAAATCACATCAACATAGCTTCCAGAACCGTATGATGACTCAAGCATCTCATTCAAATTCCAATACCGGTTTACCTTCATCCAAAACCATCAAATCTTCCTCCCTTACTACCTAAACCTGTCACAAACTTCAGCTCCACGTTCCAGAAATCAGCAGGTATAAAAAAAATCACCAACTGAAACGCAATTAAGGAGAGAGAAAGGGGTTATGTTATACATGTGATGAGAAATTTACTTCCTCTCATAAATGTCTGTAGGTTTTAGGAATAAAACTTCCTTGATATTATTGAGCCATCCGGCTATGGTATATATACATGTTACAGATAAAATCAAGTTGTTACAGATCCTAAAAAATAGGATCTATCTATTCTATCTATTCTGTGAGCTTATCTACTAATTAGAGAGTCCTATCTACTCTAATTCTTATCTACACAGTTCCGGATGTACAAGTAATTAAAATAACAAGAATATGTTACATTTTTCTACACTCCCCCTCAAGTTGGTAAGTATATATCATACATTCCCAACTTGCTTATAAGTAGCTCAAATATAGGTCTAAATAACCCTTTGGTGAAGATATCAGCTGTTTGATCTTTAGTGGATACAAATGGTGTACAAATGATTCCAGCTTCAATCTTCTCTTTAATGAAATGTCTGTCCACTTCAATGTGCTTAGTTCTATCATGTAGCACAGGGTTATGAGCAATGCTTATAGCAGCTTTATTATCACAATATAACTTCATAGGCAGCTCAATCTCCATCTTTAGTTCTGTGATTACTCGTTTGATCCAGAGTAACTCACATATTCCATTAGCCATTGCTCTGAATTCTGATTCTGCACTACTCCTAGCAACCACATTTTGTTTCTTACTTCTCCAGGTTACTAGATTTCCCCATACATAGGTGCAGTATCCAGAGGTAGATCTCCTATCAGAAATTGAGCCAGCATAATCCGCATCAGTAAAAGCTTCAATTTTCCTATTGTTTCCCTTTTTGAAAAACAATCCTTTCCCTGGACAGCTCTTCAGGTATCTTAGAATCCTGTAAGTAGCATCAAGATGTTCTTGGAAAGGATGATGCATAAACTGACTTACCATGCTTACTGCAAATGCAATATCTGGTCTAGTGTGTGCCAGATATATTAATTTTCCTACCAATCTTTGATATTGGTGAATATCAACTGGATTTCCCTCCTTGATATCTCCCAATTTCTGACTTGGGTCAATTGGAGTGTCTGCTGGTTTGCAGGCACTCATTCCAGTTTCCTGTAGAAGATCTAAAACATATTTCCTTTGTGAGACAACAATACCCTTCTTTGATCTAGCTATCTCCATTCCTAGGAAAAATTTTAAATTTCCTAGGTCTTTAATCTCAAATTCATGAGCAAGTTTGTCTTTCAACCTTTTAGTCTTTGTGTGATAATTTCCTGTGAGGATAATATCATCTACATAGACAATTAAGATTGCAATCTCCCCCTTACCTGAAAACTTCATGAATAAAGTATGGTCAGCTTGAGCTTGATTAAATCCTTGCTTTTTTATGAACTTTGTGAATCTGTCAAACCAGGCTCTTGGAGACTGTTTAAGTCCATATAAAGCCTTCTCTAATCTGCAAACCTTTAACCCAAACTTATTTTCAAACCCAGGTGGAGGTTCCATGTACACTTCTTCTTCAAGTTTCCCATTTAAGAAAGCATTCTTTACATCCAGTTGTTGTAATAGCCAGTCTAAATTGGCAGCAAGAGATAAAAGAATTCTTACAGTGTTCAACTTTGCAACTGGTGCAAAGGTTTCTTTGTAATCAATTCCATAGGTCTGTGTGTACCCCTTGGCAACTAGTCTTGCCTTATATCTCTCCAAACTTCCATCTGCCTTAAACTTGGGGTTGAAAATCCACCTGAAACCAACTGTAGGTTTATTTTTAGGTAACTTTACAAGCTTCCATGTCTGATTCTTTTCAAGAGCCTCCATCTCCTCCAAAACAGCTCTCTTCCACTCAGGTTTAGATAGGGCATCCTGTATGGTTGTAGGAATAGAAATAGAAGAGATGCTGGAAGTAAAAGCTGCAAAGTCTGATGTTAATTTAGAATAAGAAACATAGTTTGAGATGGGGTATTTAACACATGTTCTTCTCTCTTTTCTGAGAGCAATAGGAAGGTCAAAGTTGCTAGAAGTATTACCTTTTTCACTTCCTGACATTGAGGCAGAATCATGGACAGTTGTAGGTTTTTGAACTTCCTCTATTCTTTGATTTCTAACCCTTCTCTCATAAGTTTTTTCAAAGAACTGACTTGTCTGTTGATCCTTTTCAATTGGTTCAGTTGGATTTACTTCATTATTTTTAATTCCTTGATCATTTTCAGGTGTACTGATATTTGAAAAACCATTATCATCCTGATTAATATCAAGAAAATTAAAACTTTCATGAATATTTGGCATTATAGGAACATCTTCACTTAATTTCTCCCCCTGAAGATAAGAATCAAAAAAAGGTTGTTCTTCCATAAAAATAATATCCATAGTAACAACCATTGTTTTGGTTGTAGGATCAAAACATTTATACCCTTTTTGAGTGGCAGAAACACCTAGAAACACACATTTTTTCCCTCTAGGATCAAACTTACTTGCAGATTTATCTGGATTTTTGATAAACACTGTGCAACCAAAAAATTTTAAAGGAAGGGTGTTTACCAATCTATTTGTAGGAAAGAAGTGTTGTAGTAAACTAATAGGACTTTTAAATCCTAAAATTTTGGATGGCATGCGATTAATTAAATAAGTTGCATGTAACACTGCTTCTCCCCACAAATATTTTGGTATGTTTGTTGAAAACATGATTGCACGAGTGACTTCAAGTAAATGTCTATTTTTTCTTTCTGCAAGTCCATTTTGAGCTGGTGTATTGACACAAGAGCTTTGATGAATAATGCCTTTTTCAGAAAAAAAGTTGTTTAAAGTTTGAGAAAAATATTCACGGCCATTATCACTTCTTACCATTTTAATTTTGGTATTGAATTGAGTTTGGACCATAGCATAAAATGTTCTAAATATTTTCTCAACTTCAGATTTTTCTTTGATTAAAAATACCCATGTGACACGAGTATGATCATCAATAATAGTTACAAACCATCTCTTTCCCTTTAAAGTTGGTATTCTAGATGGGCCCCAAATATCACTATGTACCAAGGTAAAAGGGCTAGTAGGTTTATAACTGTGGGGTAAATAGGTGTTTCTGTGATGTTTTGCTAGAGCACACATATCACAATTAAACAAAGCAGCATCTTTATTAAAAAATAATTGAGGAAACATCTTTTTTAAATAATAGAAACTAGGATGTCCTAGTCTATAATGAAGTAAATACAACTCTTTATTGTTTGAAAAAGAAACAGTTTGCAAACAAGCATTTCTTAGACCTTTTTTATTAGATTGAGTTTCTCCATCAAAGATATAGAGTCCATCCTCCTCCTTAGCACTGCCAATCATCTTCCCCGATGCTAGGTCCTGAAAAATGCAATGAGAGGGATAAAAAATGACACAACATTGTAGATCTTTAGTTATTTTACTAACTGAAGTAAGATTGCAGGATAGATTAGGGACATGAAGGACTTTGGATAGATTCAGTGATGAAGAAATACTAATATTTCCCATCCCTGCAATGGTTGATAGAGAACCATCTGCAACCTTAACCTTTTTATCTCCTGCACTAGGTTTATATGAAGAAAAAAGGTTTGAAATAGAAGTCATGTGATCAGTAGCCCCTGAGTCAATAATCCAGGTATTTTTAGATTTCCCAGAACAAAAAAATGATGAATAGGTACCATTTTAGGCATAAGAGCAAGAGGAAGATTCTGGTTTGGATTCTTTCTGGGAATTTTGGGTTTTCTGGGTATTAAGGAAGTTAAGAAGTTGCCCTATCTGCTCCTGAGTGAATGAAAGTTGATTGAACTTGACTTGTGGTTCATGTTGAGTCTCAGTCACAGTTGTTTGTAGGGCTTTCTCAGTTTTTTTCTTTCCTGCCCCTGGTGGTTTGCCATGAATTTTCCAACAAGTCTCCCTAGTGTGCCATAATTTCTTGCAATGATCACACCAGGGTTTCTTCTTGTCATCACTCCTAGCCACCATTGCTGAAGAGTCCCCAGATTCCTCATTATGTACTGGAGTGCTGTACATAACCTTCTTCCTGCTATCCTCCATCCTGATTTCAGAAAATACCTCCCTGATAGAGGGTAGAGGTTTTTTTCCAAGTATCCTCCCCTTAATTTCATCTAGGTCCCTATTGATCCCTGCTAGAAACATATAGACCCTATCATTCTCTTCTCTTTTCTTATGTCTGGCCAGATCCTTAGCACTCTCCCACTCTTCATCACCATAGCATTGATCTAATTCTTGCCACAGAGATACCATTTCATTGTAGTATGAAATAATATCCCTATTTCCTTGTTTAGATTGCCACAGTTTGGTTTTGAGTTCAAAAATTTGAGAAGAGTTCTCAAGATCTGAATAAGTTTCCTTAATAGAATCCCATACCTCCTTTGCAGTTTTCATAAACATATGAGGTTTGGCAATTAAGGGCTCCATGGAGTTGAGAAGCAAAGCTGTTATGAGTGAATTCTCTGACCTCCATGTACTGTACCCTTCTTCTGCAGGTAGTTTTGGTTGGATTTCTCCTGTGATGTAACCCAGCTTTCCCCTCCCATCAATTGCAAGTCTGACAGATTGAGACCACTCCAGATAGTTTGTTCCATTCAATCTATGACTAGTAATTATCATAGATGAATGAATAGGAGACTGATAATTTGTCATAGAGCTAATTTGGGAGTTAGGGTTGATAGTGTGTGATGAATCAGCCTCACTGGTTTCTACCATGGTTTAAACCGAGGCTCTGATACCATGTAGGTTTTAGGAATAAAACTTCCTTGATATTATTGAGCCATCCGGCTATGGTATATATACATGTTACAGATAAAATCAAGTTGTTACAGATCCTAAAAAATAGGATCTATCTATTCTATCTATTCTGTGAGCTTATCTACTAATTAGAGAGTCCTATCTACTCTAATTCTTATCTACACAGTTCCGGATGTACAAGTAATTAAAATAACAAGAATATGTTACATTTTTCTACAATGTCCTAACAAGTAGTATTTACTGTTGCACATTGATGAAGAAGAGAACTTGGAAAGTACACTTGATTCCTCTATTACCAGTGAGGTGAGCTTGGAACAGCTTAGCCTTGAACATCATCTGTCCTATAATGCTATGAAAGGCTTTTCTGGCGTTGGTACTATGCGGTTTCAGGGAACGATAAACGGAATGGTGGTCCAGATATTACTGGACAGTGGAAGTTCTGATAATTTTTTACAACCACGGATTGCTAAATGTTTGAAATTACCGGTGGAACCTGCATCAAAATTCCAGGTATTAGTTGGAAATGGACACTGCTTGGTAGCTGAAGGGTTAGTGCAGCAATTGGAAGTTAAAGTGCAAGGTCATTCTATTCAGATTCCGGTTTATCTGTTGCCTATTTCAGGTGCTGATCTAGTTCTAGGAGCCACATGGCTGGCCACCTTGGGTCCTCATATTTCGGATTATAGCAAGCTCACCTTGAAGTTTTATAAGGAAAATCAATTTATAACTTTGTATGGTGATAAACCTACACTACCAGGCGCTGCTCAGTTTAATCATCTTAGGAGAATGTTTCGTACACAAAGCATTGCCGAAGTTTTTATACTACAACAGAGAGAGGCAGAAACACATGAGGATGTGGAGCTGGAATTACCACCAGATATGCCAAAAGAGATGCGTGGGCTAGTTTGGAAATACAAGAAGATTTTTGATGTACCAACTACACTGCCTTTTTCACGCACTCATAATCACTCCATACCATTGATAAAAGATGTTAAACGAGTGAAGTATGACCTTATCGATACCCACACAGTCAGAAACAGGAGATTGAAAAAATGGTGCAAGATATGCTGGAGGCAGGTATAATTACTCCTAGCACCAGTCCGTTTTCATCACCTGTTATTTTGGTCAGGAAGACTGATGGTTCGTGGAGATTTTGCACTGATTATAGGGCTTTGAATGCCATTACCATTAAAGATTCCTTTTCGATTCCGAAAGTTGATGAGTTATTGGATGAACTATATGGCTCCAAGTATTTCACCAAATTGGACCTTAGATCGGGATATCACCAAATACTTGTCAACAAGGAGGATAGACATAAAATGGATTTTAGAACACACCATGGACACTATGAATGGGTAGTGATGCCATTTGGACTCACCAATGCCCCGGCAACCTTCCAAGGCCTAATGAACGAGGTTTTCAAAGGATTTCTTCGCAAATGTGTTCTGGTTTTCTTTTGATGATATATTAATATATAGCTCTGCCTGCGAAGAGCATCTGTCACATGTGGAATTGGTCTTCACAATACTTCACGAAAATCAGTTCTATGCCAAGATATCTAAATGCTCATTTGGATTACAACAGGTGGACTATTTAGGGCATACAGTTTCTGCACAAGGGGTATCAATGGACAGAAAGAAGGTCCATGCAGTGCTAGATTGGCTCATACCTATTACTACCAATCAGTTGAGGGGGGTTATAGGGCTCACGAGGTATTACATAAGATTTATCCAATCCTATGCTAGAATTGCTACGCCACTGACAGACATGTTAAAACAAGATAAATATCCAGTGGGGCGAAGAGGCAGAGGCAGCCTTTGCCAAGCTTAAAGAGGTGATCACTCAAGCTCCAGTTTTGGCCTTGCCGGACTTCTCTAAACCTTTTATTTTAGAAACATATGCTTCAGGTACGGCTATTGGGGCTGTGCTAAGCCAAGGAAATCACCCAATTGCTTACTTTTCAAAGAAATTGAATGCTAGTACGCAAAAACAGTCAGCTTACGCAAGGGAGTTTTATGCTATTACAGAGGCCATAGCAAAGTTCAGACACTACTTGCTGGGTCACCGATTCATTATTAGAACCGATCAAAATAGCCTTAGATCCCTCACGGATCAAGCCATTAACACACCGGAGCAACAGAAATGGTTGCACAAGTTGCTTGGCTATGATTTTTCCATTGAATACAAACCGGGAAAAGAAAATATTGTTGCTGATTCTCTCTCTCACTCCTTCCTGATGGCCTTCTCAACCTAAATTATGAGTCTTAACAGATTTGAGGGCAGCTTTGTCACAGGATGCACAGTTGACAGCTATTCTACAACTTTGTTTACCAAACCAGCAGCCAGATCCTAATTATTCAGTTTCTGATCGACTATTATATTGGAAGGGCAGATTGGTGTTACCTAAGGGCCATGAATTGGTGCACAATGTGATGAGTGAGTTTCACAGTACTCCATTGGGCGGTCATTCGGGTGTTACCAGAACATCTAAACACATTGCATCTCAATTTTATTGGCCAGAAATGCAGCATGACATCAAAGCATGACACCTCCTTACCGTCAGGATTACTGGAACCATTACCTATTCCATCACTTATATGGGAAGATGTGGCAATGGATTTCATCACTGGACTCCCTTCTTCTAATGGATATACCGTCATTATGGTGGTTATTGACAGACTGTCCAAATATGTTCATGTGGCTAGTTTAAAATCAGATTTCAATAGCAAACAGGTGGCTGAATTGTTCATTAAAACTGTGGTTAAGTTGCATGGTTTCCCCAAGACCATCGTATCTGATCGTGATAAGGTGTTTACTAGTCAATTTTGGCAGCATATGTTTAAGTTGAGTGGCACTACCTTGAAGTTAAGCACGGCTTATCATCCTCAAACCGATGGTCAGTCGGAAGCTTTGAATAAATGCATTGAAATGTATTTACATTGCTTTACTTTTGCTAATCCTAAGGAGTGGTATAAGTTACTTCCTTGGGCGGAGTATTGGTATAATTCTTCTTTTCATCACAGCATTGGCATAACCACTTTCAAAGCTGTATATGGCCGTGAACCTCCTCTTTTTCGATATACATTCAATCATCAAGATCCTCCTAGTGTTCAAAAACAACTCGAACAAAGGGATGCCATCCTCAGTCAATTAAAGGACAACTTGCAGAAGGCACAACAACACATGAAAAAATGTGTCGATCTCAGAAGGAAACCCTTTGAAATGGAAGTTGGTTATATGGCCTTAGTTAAGCTTCAACCTTATAGGCAGCATTCTGTAGCCTTAAGAAAGAATCAGAAACTTGGTCTTCGATACTTTGGACCCTTTCCGGTGATACAACGAATTGGTGAAGTCGCTTACAAACTCCTTTTACCTCCATTGGCTAGAATTCATCCTGTTTTTCATTGTTCCCAGTTGAAAACATGTAAAGGGGACCATGCTACCTCTTATGTTTCACTACCAATTACAACTTCAGAGTTCGGACCAACATTGCAACCCGAAGCTATCTTACAGTCAAGGGTTGTTATCAGAAATCAACAACAGAGTATGGAACTTGTATGAATCTATTTCCTCTTTCTCCTGGAACTTTCTGTTAAATAATTGTTCAACCCAGACTTATCGATAGCTATGGAAACCGCCCTATCTCCTTACTTCATCTTCTTTTAGAGTATAACTCTTGCCATTGTTTATACCCCTGTTTCACAATATATATATATATATATGGCCCCGCCCTTACAATAGTTCCCGTCCTCCTTTAGACTGCCCCACCCTTCTCCTCTTATACACCTTATCAAAATACTGAACGTTATTATCATCATTATTATTAGGCCTTACGCCCGTAGTTAAGTCTTCATCAATTATATATGCTTCAAGTTTCACTAACCTGAGGAAATGTGAGCCGTACTTCTTCAAGAAATTTCTGTGCATACTCTCCTTCTTCTTTGCTTTCGTTTATCACAGATGATGTGATTTCACTGTCTCCTGAGCAGAAAGGTCAATTAAACTGTCAGTACATCTATAAAACAACAATTCAAATTATCATTCTAAAATGCTCCAACCATCTCTCCAAGGAAAGCACAGAACAAATATGTTAGATACCATTGATTGGGAACTGATATCCAATAATGAAGGTGTGTTCCATATAAAACTTAAGCCCGTGATTCAGGTAGAATACATTTTTAAATACAATTTCAACGTAGCAAAAGGTCATAAGTTCAAATCTCACTCCATGTCTTTTATAAAAATATTTCCATGTGTCTAAAGAAGTTTAAGTCCATAACAAACCTGAACGTCATTAGATTCTGCAAATCTAAGGCAACTAGTTCTAGCTTTTGGTGCATGAAAATCTACATTGGCATTGGATATATTAGAAGTTCCCCTGCATGAACCAACTTCAACCTCATTGTTTAGACCTAGGGTTCCATCCTAAAAGGTCAACCCTGATAGGAGGAGTAGTCCAAAGTCTTATATAGTGTTTTATTATTTTATAGCTTTCCGGTGTGGGACAAATACTTCAACACGTCCCCTCAGCCCGAACCGGGCTGGACAATATTGGGATGTATAAATGGGCCAAACAAACCCTTAAAAAGCTACCCGTAATCATGGGTGCTAAACAAGCAGTCAAACCACAACTTAGACCTAGGGTTCCATCCTAAAAGGTCAACCCTGATAGGAGGAGTAGCCCAAAGTCTTATATAATGTTTTATTATTTTATAGCTTTCTGGTGTGGGACAAATACTTCAACACTCATGGACCTCACCAATAATGGCCATTACCTGATTAACTAACAAGTACCAAGCCAAATTCAATATTTATGGGCGTGACAAAAAGCCTTTAAAAACTAAGAATGACTTGGTGCATGTAATATGAGTCTAAGTTCATTTTGAGTGCGCATGAGCTAAACTTCTCTGACACGAATGTTTCATCTACAAAAAAGATATTGTTTGTCCCAAAACTCTTCAAGCCTATGGGTTATGATATTCAACATGTTTTTCCATGATGAAGCATACAAATCATATTGACCTGATTAAAACAATACGCATACAGATTGTGTGTGAGTGACTTGTTTGTGTGTTATACATGTATAATAAGGTCGAATACTCGAATGCATTATTCACTTCAAACAAAAAAACAAGTACCGAAGATTTCCATTAAAGCAAACATATGCCTTGAGAAAGATATGTACTCACTAACTCACCAATAAAGTCATTTAGTTGCTGCCTTGCAATCCTATGGGCCCGGAGAAAGGCTGCACAGATATAACACGCAAATTCTAATCTCTCGACAGTGAAGTATGTGACAAGTTTTTGCGGGACAATACTTGTTTGAAGAATCTTGTAACGATTCGGAATATTCACATAAGTTTTTAGGCCTTCCCAATCACACAAAGCCACATGAGATACTAAGTCAAGTGCTTCATCAACAGATTCCATTAGAATGTTTGCAATGTTCTGTGTTATCCTTCCCTCATTTAGCATTCCCCAGTAAGCAGCTTGAACACCTAGCAAAAAATAAATTGTATATGTTTTCATACACATGCTAAAAATTCCAATGCACACGAGGCATTTATAAGCGAAAATGATGCATACTCTTTAACCTTACATACTATTAAATTAAACTCTCCAACTAGCCAAGGTTGTCATGGAGGCTATGTGAGGTGCAGCTCTAGCAAACTGCTTAAGTGCTTTGTCTCCTAGGTGACTAGATGATAGCCTATGCCAAAACTAGGCATCAAGTAGTTGTATGCAATACTTGAATATAATATGTTATAAAATATAATATATATGAACTACAATTTATCATAATTATACAAAACAAGAGCATACCCATTTCTAATAAATTAAACTAAAAAATTAGCAAAGGGCAATGGTGTGGTAAATGTGACTCCCAAGGGCTCATTTACTTCTAATTTCTAGCCCTCTAGTTTTCTAATTTTCAGCTTTTCAATTGTCTTCAAATTTTCTACTTCCTCCGTCTCTTTTTAGTTGCAACATTTCCTTTATCACGTTTGCCAACGCACAACTTTGACCATCATTACATTTAATTCTGTATTAGTAAAAATAAAATAAAAATCAGATTATAAAACTTAGTAATGAAACGAATTTAAAAATATTTTTTTAAAAAAATAATTCACATATATTAATAAATAAAATGTAGTCAAAGTAAAGTACATGAATAGTGTAAATATTCCAATGTTGCAACTAATGTGATACGGAGGATAGTATTTCCTATTTTCAAACCATGTTTAACAAAACATATTTCATTTTACTACCTCAAATGGTAGTAAAAACAAAAGAAATTGATACAGAGAAGGGGGGGACCCAGGAAAAGATAAATTTAATGTCACCATGGTGACAATAGTCACCATGATGACAATAGTCACCATGGTGGTCGCTAGATGGTGGTTTGGCATTTACTGGTAGTGGGTATTATTTTGTGATACCTGTTAAAATTATGCATGTATGTGTCTATATACTAACCTTTATTTTTTTAGTTGCTATATTTTGACTTTCATGTTTCTGATGTTTGCCATTGCATGAATTTCACCATTAATATGTTTAATTATTCATCAGTAAATAATATAAAAAGATTATATTTTGAAAACTTACATTGGAAAAGATCAAAGCAGAATATATGATAGTGCAACTGTCCAAGCGTTGCAACTATAAAAAGGAGGAAGTATATACCTTCGTAGAAGAATCATTTTCATATTTCCAAATTTTTTATATCTTGAGAAGTTGATGAAAACTTAGAGATTCATTAAAGGTGATGTGATGCTGCCCATATAGAAATAGAAGTGATAACAAATAATAGTGCTTACCATTCAAAAAGCGAATCCGGATATCTTTTGTATTTAGATGATGTAGGCTATCGTTGTTTCTTGAAGAAGAATGAGGGTGCATTCTTTCATCATCCTCTAAATCATTTAAGCATGTAAGATATCTTTTGACAGTAGGCCAGTCAACAGGTCCTAGTTCCTCGTCATCTCCAAGGTCAGAAAATGCCTCCACAGCTTTGTTCAACATCTCATACTTCGTGTAATTTAATATGCGCCGCTTCGCAAAAAAAACATGCTCACATACTTAATACTTAACAGCCATGAATCCTCACATACAGCAACAAATAAGACAGCCATGGATATTTTTGTTTCCATAAGTTTTGACTACTCAAGCCTATAAATGTATGAACTTCATATACTAATGTCATATTAGATAATATAAGCATTAAATATTTATTATGGCTACTTTGACATAAAAGATAGAATATGGAACCCAATAAGACATATTACCATCTGTTGATTGTTTAAGCATATATTACTCATTCTGTGTTCGTTATCCAACGATTCTCCCCTAATTAGTGTGCCAGAAGCGGAAATTTTTCTTTCATCATCATCATCATCATTACCCCAGTGCCGCAAAGGCTCCCACCTACGGTGGGGTAGGGGGGGGGGGGGTCGGATGTACGCAGTCTTACTCCTATACTAAAGAAGTGGGTATTTTTCTTTAACGAGATTAAATTCCTGGGTCATGCCTCACAAAACACCCTAACTCTACATGAAACAGGGTTAGACACATGTTGTCTACATATACATGAATGAAACAATCCTTGCCTGTAATTGTAACATGATATAATAGTCGCACGATGACTCAAGCATCAGTATATAAATGAAATTTTCCTCAATGAATCTTGGGGAAGCCATAAATTGCCTAATTTACTTTATTTCAATGAACCCTTTTTATGATGATTAAAAACTTATTGAGTATAAAATAATTGCAAACCTACCTTTGCTGATGATAGCTTATCCATTTTCAAGAAGTGTAAAATGAATTGTGTTGTTGATCCATTGATAATCAGTGTCAAGAACACAATTCCACCGGTAAAGAAAATGAACTGCAAGTTGAATATGTTTAGGTGTGAGCATGCAGCAAACGGTGAAAATGTGCAAATAACATCTTACCTGACATATTTGGTACTCAGGGCATAGCTTGGGTTTTCAAGTCCCTCGAGGAAATATATCATAGTTTGATTGTGTATTTGTGCACATCCAAACCAAAATATAAGAAATTACAAGATTTATTTTGCTAATAATTCAATGTGACTTTTGCTTTACGTACCAGAGTTCCAGTCTCCGAATTGATAAGAGATGAGTTACCACTTGAACGCTGAAATGATACAAAAGATGAAGGACACATTATGTGTAACATTGTATAAAACCGCCAAGTTGATAGAGGAACTATATTGTGTATATTGCCAAAATCCAACACCACCAACTGAGCAAGTGAATATAGAAGAGTAAATGGAACAGAGAAGAAAGATGTGAGGGAAACTCCCATCACAAGGGTGTATATGGCATAGCACTGTGTACTTAATGTTATACTCCCTTCATCCCAGTTTAAACATAATTAGGCGATAAGAATAGTTGGGAAATAGAGACAAAATGTCTCACTTGCCTTCACAGATAGCGAAAGAGATAATGCTACAGCCCCTCGTAGGCCAGACCATACGAGAATAATAGCTTCTTTCCAATCTAAACCATAGCCAAAGCACCTCAGAAGTGGAAACAATACTCCAACAACAACTATCCGGGAGACTTGAACAAAAATGTAGAGAAGGATGAGGTAACCCCAGGAATATTCTGAAAATTTTATCTTTTGAATTAGAAGACCCTGAAATATAATCTTTTTGAAAATTTCTAATGCAGTGAAATCTACAATAGCATTGGAAATGAAACCATCGGTGATCAAGTGTGTTGCATGTGTACCCAAAAACAAAGTAGATATTCCATAGTCTGTTATTTACTAAAAAGAGAATCTATATTTACTCTTTTGAGGAAAGAGATCTTCCATAGTCTGTTAAGCTTGACTATTGATTTTTAGACCTTGTTGTACCATGCTTATATAGATACATAAGGCGTATCAAACACTAGGTGTACTAACTACTAAGTGTATGCTGAATGCTGATTATATGCTCGAGATGTGCTACAGGCTACATTAACAACTAGTCTGCTGTTCTCACAGGCACTTTCAAGAATAACAGCTTGTCTGTTGCATTCACTACTACATTCAAGAAGAACCTCTTTTACATTCATATATACTTATAACACTACCCCGAGTTCATCCTGATTCCACGATTGACAGCTTGTTTGTTGCATTCACAATTTTTCAACAATCTCTTCAGCTTGGAGCTTGTTACATATGCATACAATCCTCAAACAAATGCAAATGCAAAGACCATGTCTCAAGGAGCAAATTTTGTGCAGACAAATAATCAACTTCTATATGGTTAGTTTTTTTGTGAAAAACAAGTTTGGAGGCACTGTGTAAGGTTGACTGGTGTTACAAACCAACTTCATCATCCAAACTCTGTGCTAACTAATAGTCACTTCCATGATCTAAATTGCAATATGCGGGGTGAGCCAGTTCCTAACATCCCAAAGATATGATGATCTCTTAGTGCTAAAACTGAAAGAGGAGAAAACCACCACTAGGAAACATAGAGGTGCGCTAACAAAACTTAGTTCAATTAACATAAAAGAGAGCTAGCAAAACATAGCTCAATACACATAAGGGAGACTTGCATTCATTAATTGAAAAGGAGAGTAACTGTGGGAGGAAACTAACAAACAAAATTATCTGTGAAAATGTAAAAGAGAACAGTGTGCGGGGGGGGGGGGGGGGGGGGGTTGAGTAAACATACCATGTGTTTTAGAAAAGTTGTCACTTTGAAGAAATCCATCTGCTATGACAAGCCCACTTTGGAAAAAAATGAATGAGCAAAAAATAGTAGTGGAAGGTGCAGAAACTATCATACAATACCAAATAGTTGTAACAAAAACACAAATCCAAGAAGGCCAAGGCCCAAGTGTGACTCAAGTCACCACAAGCAAATGTAGAGTAAACATAAAGTTGAAAAGAATTTGAAAACAAACCGTGAGTAAGATGACCAAGATTTGACTACATATTTAGTTTCTTATAGAACTCGCCTACGTGGTGAGAGAATCAATTGATATTGTGAATTGTGCGGGTATTGAAATGTTTCTACCACCTTAGCATAAGGCCATAAGCTTAAGATATTAATGGATATATGTTATTTATCTTACAGTATCCTCAATACACACATCTGGAGTTGTCGTGATATTATTCTAATGATCAACGGCAATAAGGATTAGAAAAAACCTACATATTACTAAAACGTAGCCACTTTTCTAAATAAAGATCATTATATTATACAACAACAACAACAACATCCAAGCCTTAGTCCCAAAAGATATTGGGGTCGGCTAACATGAATCGATACATGATATCACAACCAAAAGGAAAAGAAGGAATAAAGATAAAAAGATAAGCTATTATGAAAAGATAATATAAAAAAGATGAATATATATATATATATATATATATATATATATATATATAAATGATAAAATAAAAAGGTTGCAAATAATGCTTATAAATATATATATATATATATATATATATATATATATATATATAAGGATAAAAAAAACTAGGAAAAAAAAGATGAGGGAAAAAGATTATCAAGATCACTCCTTCACGTGAATACCCGCCCTCCACTTAGTTCTCTCCAAAGTCATGCCCTCATCCAACCCCAGAAAAAGCATATCACTTCGAACTCCCCTAACCCACGTCTGTTTGGGTCTTCCTCTCCCTCTCTTCCCTGCCTCTTGTCCACACATCTCAACTCGCCTAACAGGTGCATCACTCGGTCTTCTACGCACATGACCAAACCACCGTAGGCGCGACTCCCGCGGTTTTCCCAGGCCATCATCTCCATTCTTCGCCCTACCTTCTTTACCCTCTATGAAGTATGAACCATACTCCCCAAAAAATACCCCTTCTCACACCATCACCATTACCTTTGATCCCCCCTCTATGCGGTCTTAACTTCTAGAAACTTGTCTCCCCCAAAAGTTCTTTATTCTCCCACCATCACAATATTCCCCTTCTCTATCATCTCCACGCTCGAAACCATTCCCCCTAAAATTCTTCCCTCCCCATTCCACCAAACCCATGCCTCTGTCGCCACCTACTGATGACAAATACAACGCCACCTTCTCATGAGTTCTCTCATTCCGTTGTTTGCAACTTTGCTTCCCTACTCGCAAACATTCACTGAAATGGCCCCTTCTTCATGGACAAAGGTGATCGTACTACACATTAAAGGTGGTGATGTTTGAGGATGATAAGGCGGAGATGGGCAGTGTAGTTAGATGGGTTGGCTGGTGAATGAATGTATGTTTAGTTCCACCCATGTTTTTATTTGGATTTATTTCAATCCCATACCAGACCAGACTTAGACAGTTACAAAATATACATAGACCAGACCATATAAAATCGCACCAGCCGACGGGCAATGACACGAAATGCACGTCGTGGGGGGAAAACTTCTAAAAGACATTCGATATTGACATAGAAAATATTCCATTCCAAAAGTGCTTGAAAACTGATTGCTTGCTCTTATGTGCCGATCGGAACGAAGACACACTTGGGTGGTGATAATTTCAATGTGGTAGCCTTATGTCTACATAGACCCCCAAGATCCCTGAATTATAATTCCATTTCTATCTAAATTGCGAATTAAATAGGCTTCTAAATGGGATATCTCTTTAGTGATATCAAGACCTAAGGTTCATAAACATCCCACTTGAAATTTTCAGATGATGTTTTCGAAAAACATTTTTCAAAACCATGAACATAAGAATGTTTGTATCGAGAAACTTTTGGTACAACAATAAGTCTGAAGTACATGTCTTTGAATTGGCTTTTGACATGAGTTGGTTGACTCATTCTCAAGTGTTCTTTCAGAAAACGGTTAGCGCCAACAGATAAAGAATTACTAGGAACAACACTATGGGACGTTCTTTGAGAGGCACTGAGATAACCAAGCGAGGCATTATGTGACTAGACCGAGAAGGTCTTGGTTGAGGTCATGAGGCATCAACTAAAAGTGATAGATGTATCAGGTCTGAGCATGAGTCCATGTATCCTGGAGATCATGGAGATCTGCAAGGCACTCAACTTATAAAGCTGGAACAGATCATTGAAGACTCTCAACTGACTCTGTTTGATGAGGATGACATCGAGGACGATGATATGGAAGATGCTCCATAGGAGCGTACTGAAGTTGCTATAGACTGGTTCAGCCATTATAAACAGAGATGGCTAGAGAGAAAGGCTGAAAAGAGCTCGAGTGGGAGGCTCAGGTGGAGCTTTTAGAGCAGTGCTAGGGCGCAGCCCAGAGAAACAATTGATTAAGAGGAGGAAGGTTCACTGATAAGTATCTCCAATTTTTTAAAGAAGCGGGGGACAGGTGCAAGAACTTTGATGACATCCGGGACATCTCGGAGCAGCTAAGTGGTGAAAAGGGTAAATGAGGCAGCTGAAGACATGGAGCTGATTCCATAGCTCAAAGTGAGAGCGGCTACTAGATTGCTGGACAGTGACATCTTGGTGGACTGGTCTCAAAGGTAAGTACAATGGGGTGTTTATGTAGGATTAGATGGAGGAAGAGTACTACGAGCTGTATTACTCTTCATTAAAGGTGAGCCAGATAAGAACAAATATGCCGAGCAGAGCAAGGCAAGGTATACACGGTGAGGCAGCTAGGACATCAATTCTGAAGGTTGGCTGATTCTCTCACTATGTACAAGAGGAATGATGACCCAGCATAGTTTAGTCACAATACTTCTTTTAGTCATATGAAAAAAAATGTTTTGATTGTCATATTTAGGAGAGCCTCTTATATTTTAGACATGCCTTGGTAAATTTCTCAAAGGATTGCACATATTTATACCACAATTCTAGGGTAAACAACCTTGTTCACACCCCTAAAATTTACAACAAACAACATGCTTAACTCAAGCATAATATATAACACAAGACGTATTTTATTCGTGAAAGTGTGAAACTAAACATAAATTCCAGCATAAAATAAGTTGTACAAAAGAATACATGAGTAATTCAAGAATAAAAAATCCAAATTCGGTAATACCAGAGATATATCAAAATCCTTCTTATGATGATAATAATCACAATAAATAAGAATGGTAGTTTACTCGCATACCTTAAGATAAAAATTAATGTGTTGGCAATATATGCAACCATTTCCCTAAAACAAAGGAAAATAGCTAATTAAAGTTCACTCAATAAGGTATGATGTTACTAATATAACTCGCTTCTTTTGACTTGGTAAAATCACCAACTACTTGAGATCTTGATGTGGTGTGGGGTCAGCACACCCTACTGTCAATAAGAGAATCTGTTAAATTATTATTATTACTATATTTGAAAGTGTAATTTAGGGAAGTTATTATGAGGTATTAAGTGCAGGATTATTAGGTATTAAGTGCAGGATATCTTGCATTAATGGTGAGGATCTCCTGATTTGTTTCCTTGTAAATGTATTTATTTCTTGCCTATATAAGTGTGAATATACAACTGAGGAAGGCAGCTCAGTTCTTTCAGCAATTCTAGTTCTTAGTTCTTCCCAGTTTTATTATTCTCTGGTAATATTTGTGACATGGTATCAGAGCCCTGTTCTTCAAGTTCCTGCTCAAAACCCTAAATTTCCCTAGGGTTTTCCTCTGAGATTTTCGTCACCTCAATTGTAGCCTTTTTTTGTCTCAGATCTACTTATTTTCTTCTCAGATCTGTACGTTTTTAGCCTCAGATCCACTGCCTATCTTCTGGGAAGTAAACATTCTGGTGTTTTTCTTTTACTTTCTAGTCATCATGGATAAATTAGAAACCTTGTGTGCTCGATTGGATGGCAAGAACTATGTTACTTGGGCATTCCAATTTGAAACGTTCCTGAAAAGAAAGGATTTGTGGGCGCCTGTTGATGACTCTTCGACAGAAAACTCTGCTTCTGAGGATGTTACTTGGGCAGTTAAAGATGCCCAAATTCGTAGTTGGATATTAGGGTCAGTGGATCCTCAAATTGTCCTCAACTTGCGTCCGCATCGCACAGCTCGAGCCATGTGGGCTTATCTACGACAAGTTTATCACCAGGATAACTCTGCTCATCAATTTCAGTTGGAGTTGGATATTTCGAATTTCCAACAAGGCTCTCTCACTATTCAGCAATACTATTCCAACTTCTTTACACTTTGGTCTGAATACATTGACCTATCCCTTGGTGAAGTGCCAGATACTGATGTGGAGTCTCTTCGGGATATGTTACAGACCCGTCACCGCAGTCAATTCTTGATGAAACTGCGTCCTGAGTTTGAAACCATTCGCTCCTCACTATTGAGCAGAAATCCAGTTCCCTCTCTGGAGATTTGCTTCCGGGAACTTCTTCGTGAAGAGCAGCGCCTGCATACCCAGGCTACCTTGGAGCAGGGTCAGTCTTCAGTTGCTTATTCCACTCAAGCTAAGCCGCATTCCAGAAACATGAGCACCACACAGTGTTATTCCTGTAAGAATTACGGTCACATCGCACAACACTGCCCTAATAAGGTTTGTAGCTACTGCAAGAAGCCCGGTCACATCATCAAAGATTGCTCCATTCGCCCACCTCGTCGAAAAAATACTGCGTATCAGGCTACAACAGAAGTTCTGGCCACTTCTCCAAATGTTTCCGGGGCTGCGTATCCAGCCCCTGCTTCTGCCACTGCTCTTACACCTGAAATGGTACAACAGATAATAGTTTCTGCTTTCTCTGCATTGGGGATTCAAGGTAATTCTTTACCTTATTCTAACTGGTTTCTAGATTCTGGAGCTTCAAATCACGTGACTTCTTCGGTACATGGACTCACTAATATTCGCAAATATGATGGTTCTTCATCTATTGAAACTGCCAATGGTAATAAGCTGCCTATTACTGCCATCGGTGATATTTCTCCTCGGGTTAAAGATGTATTTGTTTGTCCTCAATTATCTACAAGTCTTGTTTCTGTTGGTCAACTTATTGATGATAAATGTGATGTGAAATTCTCTTCCAATGGATGTTTTGTGCAGGATCAGGTGTCAGGGGAGTTGATAGCGAAGGGGCCTAGGATTGGACGTCTCTTTCCATTACATTTTCCTCAATATAATTCTGTTTCTGCTTTTGCATGTAATAAAAACTCAGGATCAGTGTGGCATAGGAGACTTGGCCACCCGAATCCTCGAGTTCTTTCTCATTTGTTACAGCTTGGTCGTTTAGATAATAATAAAGAGAAAGTTTCTTCTGATTTTGATTGTGAATCCTGCAAACTAGGCAAAAGCAAAGTTCTTCCTTTTCCATCTAATGGTAGTCGTGCTTCCCATTGTTTTGAGATCATTCATAGTGATGTTTGGGGAATTTCTCCTGTTCTGTCTCATTCCCATAACAAATACTTCGTTACCTTTATTGATGATTATAGTCGCTATACGTGGGTATATTTTCTACGATCAAAGGCTGATGTTTTCAAAACATTTCAAAATTTTCTTGCCTTTGTAGAAAATCAATTTTCCACGGGTATCAAAGTTGTTCGTAGTGATTCTGGTGGGGAGTATATGTCTCATGAATTTCAAGCATTTCTTGAATCTAAAGGAATTATATCTCACAGAACCTGCCTTTATACTCCTCAACAAAATGGTGTCGCGGAACGCAAAAATCGTCATCTTCTTGATATTGTTCGGACCTTACTTTTAGAATCCAAAGTTCCTACTCGTTTTTGGGTTGAAGCTTTGTCTACTGCAGTTTACCTAATAAACAGACTTCCATCACAGGTCTTGGGGTATGAATCACCTTATTTCCGGCTACATAAATGTCATCCAATATACACCAATCTTCATCCTTTTGGTTGTGTGTGTTTCGTTCATCTTCCACCCTCAGAACGCCATAAACTCTCTGCTCAATCTGCCCGGTGTGTATTTCTAGGATACAATGTCAGTCAAAAGGGATTCGTGAGTTTTGATCCGATAGCAAACAGATTACGAGTCTCTAGAAATGTTATATTCTTTGAAAATCAGTATTTCTATCATAGTTATGTTCCCAATAATCCATCTTCTGTCATATTACCTGAATTTGAAAGCGTTTCCAGTCCTTCTCCTCTCAGCACCCGATTAAAAGGCATAATGTATGAAAGACGTCGTCCACCTGCCTCTTTATCATCTCCTGTCCTGCCATCAGATCCTATGACAGATCCTCCTCTTGAAAATATGGGTAATGTGGAGATTCCTCTTCGCCGTTCTACACGACGTTCAGTACCACCGGATCGGTATGGCTTCTCATCCTCTTCTCTTGCTCTTGCTGCCACCATTGGATCTGTTGTTATTCCTTCTTGTTATACACAGGCTGCCAAACATAAGTGCTGGCAGGAAGCAATGCAGGAAGAATTAAGAGCATTGGAACTTAATCAGACATGGGATGTTGTCTCATGTCCTCCTAATATCATTCCTCTAGGGTGTAAATGGGTGTATTCAGTCAAAGTTCGTCCAGATGGCAGCATTGATCGTTATAAAGCACGTTTGGTGGCACTTGGAAATCATCAAGAATATGGTGTAAATTATGAGGAAACCTTTGCTCCGGTAGCAAAAATGACAACAATTCGGACTATTCTCGCCATTGCCGCTTCCCGGGGATGGTCTCTAAGTCAAATGGATGTGAAAAACGCATTCCTTCACGGTGATCTCAAAGAGGATATCTTTATGCGTGCACCTCAGGGTCTTTTCTCTGGTCCCACCACAAAGGTTTGTAAATTACACCGTTCTTTATATGGCTTGAAACAGGCTCCCCGTGCTTGGTATGAAAAATTTCGTGCCACACTTCAACAATTCTTGTTTCAGCCAAGCAAGCATGACACATCCATGTTTCTCCGACATACCTCAGACGGGATTGTAGTCCTTCTTGTCTATGTAGATGATATTGTTATCACTGGAACGGATCAATCCCTTATTTCCAAGCTCAAACAGCACCTACATAGTTCTTTTCATATGAAGAATCTTGGGGGGCTTTCATATTTTCTAGGACTTGAGGTTACTGTGAGTTCCACTGGTATTTTTTTAAATCAATCCAAGTATGCGGGTGATCTCATTGATTCTGCAGGTCTTAGTGGCACATCTCCAGTTGATACTCCAATGGAGTTAAACATTAAACTTCGAAAAGATGAGGGAGATCTTCTTCCAGACCCGACAGTGTATCGTAAGCTTGTGGGCAGTTTAGTGTATCTTACGATTACTCGTCCAGACCTCTCATTTGCAGTTCAGCAAGTTAGTCAATTTCTGCAGAATCCTCGTCATCTCCATATGGCTGCAGTTCGACGTATTATTCGTTATATTCATGGCACTATTACCAAGGGACTTTATTTCCCAACCGGTCCTTCTCTTGAACTATCCGCCTACAGTGATGCTGATTGGGCTGGTTGTGTAGACACTCGCCGCTCCACCACAGGATGGTGTATGTTTGTGGGGGCTGCTCTTGTTTCCTGGAAAAGCAAGAAACAGGATCGGGTTTCTAAATCATCTACCGAGTCAGAATATCGTGCTATGTCACTTGCTTGCTCAGAAATCATATGGTTACGTGGTTTACTAGCTGAACTTGGTTTTTCACCTAATGGGCCTACTCCATTGCATGTCGATAACACTAGCGCTATTCACATTACTGCTAATCCAGTTTATCACGAGCGCACGAAACACATTGAAGTTGATTGTCACTTTATTCGTGAAGCATTTGAATACCAAGTTATTTCCTTGCCCCATGTATCAACAAATCTTCAAGTGGCTGATATATTTACAAAGGCTCTCCCTCGCCCGCGTCATCAGTTCCTTGGAAGCAAATTGATGCTGGTCTCCCCAGCATTTCAATAAATGCGGCTCTCCCTCGCACTTATCATTGGTATCAATTTGAGGGGGGATGTCAATAAGAGAATCTGTTAAATTATTATTATTACTATATTTGAAAGTGTAATTTAGGGAAGTTATTATGAGGTATTAAGTGCAGGATTATTAGGTATTAAGTGCAGGATATCTTGCATTAATGGTGAGGATCTCCTGATTTGTTTCCTTGTAAATGTATTTATTTCTTGCCTATATAAGTGTGAATGTACAACTGAGGAAGGCAGCTCAGTTCTTTCAGCAATTCTAGTTCTTAGTTCTTCCCAGTTTTATTATTCTCTGGTAATATTTGTGACACCTACTACTTTATTGATAATAAAAGGCACACATACAAGAGGATGGGATGGCTGGATGGGGGTAATGTTACCTCGTAGTACTCCCACCGTCCCATAATGTTAGATACTGATAGAGACCCACCTTTTGACTAATAATAGCTATTAGTTAAAATGCTGTAATAGATATTAAATAATGTCAGGAGCTGGACTGCTATAAATAGAAGTAAGGCTGAGAAGGGAAGGTAGGCTGTTTAGACGATATTGTCTGGGACTGGGAAGTTGGAGTGGTATCTCCTTCTTTGGGACTTTGTACACTGTTTTCCATCATTAATGGAGGTTTACTGTTTTCTGTGAATTGTTTTCCCTTATACTGTGATTGTTATTCGTTGTGGAGTTCTTATCATTGGTATCAGAGCAAACGATCTTGTTACCTGTAGTCCTGTACAGGAACGATGGAAGATTGGGGGCTGTTTTGGGGGAAAATGCACGAAGATACCAGGCGTTTGTGCGAAATGATACGCAAAATAAGCCCGCAAAGAAATAATCGGCACTCGCAGAAAGAGCCGCGAACTAATTCGCACTCGCAGGAGTTGCAGAAAGAGTCGCGAACTGTTTCGCACTCGCGAAAGAAGCCGCGCGAAGAAGTGGGGAAGCTCGCGGAAAAGGATAAGCGAGGAAAAATGGAGAAAGAGAAGTGGCCAACCCTAGAAAATGAAAGGCGCTCAAAACTGGAGAAGGAGAAGGAGAAGAGCAAGGAAACAAGAACAGGGTTGGACGAGGTGCGCACCAAGCTGGGGCAACGTCACTGAAGAGGACGATCGAGGACTGTACGTCGCTGCAGAAATTCGAAAAGCAAAGGTTCGTCGCCTACTTCTTCTGGTTTTCTGGCTTCCACGCGGGCAGAAGTTCTTACTACGCAGGTTTCTTCATTCGCTGGATCTCTCATCTCATCACCGCTTATACCTTCAGTTAAGGAAACAGACCCTGAAGAGGAGGTTAATCAACCTTCGGAAATTTCATCAGACAATATTGAAGGTTCAGAAATACTTAAACGAGATATACTTACCGATGATATGTGCTATGCTAATATACTCAATTTGAAACCCTTGATTGATTTCGTTCCTGAACTTGGATTGGGTGTTCCAATGAAAGGGCTGAACCAGATTGATGGTTTCCTAATTGATGGTGCTACCCCTATTAAGAACATCCAAGATAGGTCGGAAATAGGATTTACTGTAAATTGGAAGATTTACACTAACAGATTCCTGATGTCTGACCATGAAATCAACCCTGCTATTTTCCAATTGGCTTTGATAAGTGGTGAACATGTAAGGCAAGCGCCATCAATTTGTATATCGCTTCAAGAAGGAGGTGTAGGCTTAGACTATCGTTTTGATGATTCTGCTGTGGCAAATTCTTATTCTGTGGCTACAAGCCCATCTGTTAGGTCCATTGTACTCGTGAATGGCATTTACAAGGACTTTGTCAGCTCTTATCTTGACTCTTCCATCTTCCAGCATCAACAACAAAAATGGAATGTTCCTGGTTCTTTCAATATGCTGACTGTTGGAAAAGAGATTCTTCTTGAAGTTCAATCAACCATTCAGGTATGGAAATATGGCGCTGAGAACACGAGTTGCTATTTGTTGATCAGCTACCCGGAACCACTGGTGTTGACAACACTTTCCAATGATGACTTGGTGGATAATTTTACCTATGCTGACTTGAAAGCGAATCCAAATACTTTGTCTTCTGGTTGTAGTTCATGGTCTTATTTTCGTAAAGGAGAGGTTATTTCTTATTACTCAGGTGGTTGGAGTAGTAAGAATGCAGATCATGATGGTAGAAATTACTATGCGATGATGGGCAAAGATCAAGGTATATCAAGAGTTTCTATTCTGGAAGAACTACCACTCATGACATGTCACATGAGTGAAACAACTGAAAACCGAGAACTTGGGTTGTACCCTGAAGCAAGAGCTACTAGCAAATGGAAGATGGAGCAGAGGGTGATGAGTGAAGATCAGTACCAGCCTGAACAAAATCACAGGAATAGTATTATTGCTTGGAAGGGAGAGGAGCTAGTGTTGTTTTTGCTAGAAGCAGTGAGAAGGAAGATTCAAATCATGAAGTTCAAGATCCTGAAATTTGAAAGATACTGGGAAGGAAGAGGTGCAAGGAAGAAGAAGAAGAAGCAGAAGATCTTGGCTTTCTCCTATCACCCACCTTGAGGACAAGGTGGATGTTTTGGGGGGAAGTATTGATAGAGACCCACCTTTTGACTAATAATAGCTATTAGTTAAAATGCTGTAATAGATATTAAATAATGCCAGGATCTGGACTGCTATAAATAGAAGTAAGGCTGAGAAGGGAAGGTAGGCTGTTTAGACGATATTGTCTGGGACTGGGAAGTTGGAGTAGTATCTCCTTCTTTGGGACTTTGTACACTGTTTTCCATCATTAATGGAGGTTTACTGTTTTCTGTGAATTGTTTTCCCTTATACTGTGATTGTTATTCGTTGTGGAGTTCTTATCAGATACTTGTAGGTTTGGCACGGTTTTTAGGAAAATAAGAAGTAAGAGGAGTCCACAAAAAGTAAAGGGTGAAATGATTGATAAGGGGATAAAGTGGGAAAGTAAAAGTTAGTATAAAATGGGACGGAGGGTGTATATGATAAAAGGCTCATCCATGTGGTTGTCTCCTACTTCATGATTGATAATGTATACGTATCTATTGTAGACTTGTACAATAGGCTCCACCTCTTTTAGCAAAATCATGGTAACTTGATATTCATTTAGATCTTTGATATTCATTTAGAACTTTTTTTGCACTCCTAAAAGGCAAACACGTGTTCACCACATGACTTCTTCTATCTTTTATAAATTTTAGATAGTTAGAAACACTATATTTGCTCTAGAAGTCTTACACCAAGAGCTATATCTCAAGTTAGATGGTGGTATACTAGGCAATGAGAACTTGGAATTGGTTGGTATCGTTATTGGTGAGAGACATTACTCATGGGGAATTGGGGAAATCATTCCCCTTGTAGTGATTTTCAAGTGCTCATATTTCAGCTACTTTAGTAGTAATATTGTAGATATACTTCATAGTCACTACTTCACATCATAACGGGAGTTAGGAAATTTACCAAAAATGATGCATACTCTTTTTCCCGTCACCCTTGAAAACAGTTTTAGCAACAGCAGAGTAGAACCTGTTTTTATGTCATAAGAGTGCTTCGTGAAGATCCATGGTTAATACAGAATACTACTCCCTCTATTCAAATAATCAAATTTACTTGTCTTGGTTGACTGCTTTTTCTTGATCCTCTTTTTTGTCCTTTTATGAAAACTATGTACATTAAATAATTTTCCTAATTTACCGATCTTAAGCTATTCAATTTACCCTTCCCCCCAAGAGAACACTAATGGGAGAACGACCTTTAAAGAGAGTGTTTTGGTAAAGCATTAAAAGATTGGTTATTTTATCACTCCAATACATTTTTCTACTGTGTGATTTGGTCAACCAGAGAAAATTCAAAGGAGTAATCAACATAACTTACATTCCTAACGTCATGACAGTCAATACACCTGAAAAATTGGCCATTTCTTGTGCCTGTTACAAATGAGCTGTATTAGTTCTGATTTTGCAAATAAAAGAGAGCAGCTTGTATATTCCTGGGGAAAAAGACACCATCTCAAAACTACTCACAATTATAAGCTATGAAGCACGGAGCCACGGAAACTATCTTGGAAGAATATGTTTCCATTTTGGACTCTTGACAAACATTCCAAACACTTGTTATTTTTATTATATGGTGACATTTCACGCTTCATGTTTCCGCGCAACATAGGTTATAAGTGAAACAGTTTGCTTCACGTACACAATAATTAATAAATTATCATCAGTATCTTTTACCATCAAATAAGGAATCTCTGTGAATTTACTATAATATAGTTGTATATGATTACAAGTACTATCCTGGAATACTGTTAGAGTAGTGTTAGCCATTTAGGGATAAGATAGCTTGGTTGTTATTCTGTTCCTATTATTCAGGATCTGTAACCTCATGTACATGTATATTTATATGCCTTCTCTGGCTCTTCAATGAATAAGCTATTTCTATTATTCACACCTACAATCTCCATAGTATCTATTCAGATGAAATTATTAGAAATGCGAACTTGTTCGGGATATCCCAAAATGAAGGGTTCACACTTTTTGTCCGAAAAAGAAGGGCCTTATTTTATCAATAGCGCTATATTTTGTCCTTTTCATGTAATTTGCCAGAAAAACGCCGACAAACACATAGAATATAAAAAAATTGAAAATACAAAGCATGATGAACATTTAAAGCAATTGTATCTTCTAAAAATTAAATTTTGTACATTGGTCAACCAAGACTCCTTTTTTGGAAGTGAATAGTAAAGTCACTAAAGTGTAATTCAATGATGCACAGATCAAAGAATAATATACATAGAATTTATCATATATTTCCAATCAAATGATAAACACAGAGATGGTTCACAATGTTCCCATGATTGGAAGAGAAACATACGGTGAAATAAGCTACATAGCTCACAGCAAGTGTGAGTGTGATCTCTATCACTGTATCATTGAAAATATATCCCAGCCACAAAACAGATGACAGTCCTAAAGCAAGACCAATGGCCACTCTGAACAGAAGAATAGATATTATGAGGCAAGAGCATGTCTAGCTATACATAACTAAATCCAGAAATACATACGCCCCAATGGTGACTTGCAGCAAAAACTTGATTATTGATCCCCAGTTAAAGCTCCATCCAAGAACCATGCGCAAAAACAGTTGATATACAACGATTGCCGTCCTAAAGAGAGAAATGAATTGCCACTGAAAAAAGGTTGTAGGAAAGGGAATGGGTAAAGTATGTTATACAGAACCAATCACTCCAATGTGTTTTAATGGCAAACCACTGGATAACAACAAATAAAAATTTGGATGTTTCCTGAATAGGTTTTTCCACTAAACCCACAATGCAGCGTGAGGAATTAATTACCCATCATTCATCAAGGATTCTCCTTCAATTATGGTGCTCAATTTTTTGCTTGCCCCAAGTTCTTTTAGCAAAGCGACAACAGCCACGGGATCAGTAGCACTCAGCAATCCCCCAAGCAATAAAGATGTTTTCCAGCTCCAGTTATACGGGAAAGCAAGCTTCAATTTGTAATCGTGTTAGATGCTCATTCAATAAATGATTTGTATGATCAGAAAAACGATACTGCGCAGACCTTTAACACGGATCCAAGAACAAAAGTTGAAATGAGCACTCCAGGCCCAGCAAGTAGAATAATTTGGACCATGCACCTCTGCATTAAAGTTAGAAATACACTATATAAAGCTCGGGCAAATACTTATAAACCGCCTAGCTTTCAACTACAAAACCCCAAATGAAATTGCACCCTTAAAATGTCACATTTGGCCTATAAACTTTTAAATGACCCTGAACTTTCAAAAAAATGCTAAACGACTATAGAAATGTCATATATGCAAATGCATCAAACACAAATGTGATCAGATATGTGATGAAATTTGTAAGCAATGTTATTAAAGCAGGCATTACTTGGTGGCTGCTGCACTAAAATTTTGAGGGGCAAGGCAGTTATTAGCACTGGTTCACTTAAGGCCTGTAAAGTGATTCGCTAGAGAAATAACAGAGAGAACTGGGAAGCAATGATTATGGCCAGAAGGATACATATGAAGGTTCATGATCAAGGTACCCTTATCAGCCACGATGTCAGCGAAACTACTAAGGCTCATGAATAGCACTTAGTTACACCTTTCTTCCCAAGTTGGTTCAAGGTTTTATTATTATATTGCCTAAAAGGAAAGGAATATAGGGTATATGTGAATGACTTTGTTATTCTTTTGGATGCTTTAGTAGGACGCCCTTATATTTTTTTATTGTGGTATATATGTCTTACTTTCAAAAATGAAAGATATCTAAAGGTCAAGCATTCTTTGCACTTGTCTCCACAATGAAAATCGAACTTTGTCACCTCTTCTTCAATGTGAGGAAGAATTTATCTGTTGCATTATAGGTAAGAGGCAGAGTCTAGGAGAATACAAACTTAACGTAATGAACATGTGATAGGTTCCTAGCTAATTCACAATGAATTACAAGAAACAAGATGAAGAACAGAGATATGATTACATTGAAAGGGTTCGTATTACAGAAAATAGAGAGAGAAAATACAAGACAGTTCCATCTTCCAAATCCCAAGCCCAAATGATAATTCCAACCTCCTTTCTATTTTCCCCTCCACATCTATTTATACTAACTATTCTAATATTATTATTACTCTTATTATTATTAGTGCTATTCTGCCGGAGTCCTATCAACATGACTATGGGCAAGATAAGTTCTGAAAATGAAATAATGATCACACAAACTATAAAGGAAAGCGCTGTTTTTTATGCTTGCCGAAAGTTGATAGGGCCATGGGCTGTAGAGAATAATAATAATAATAATAGTGATAGATTGATATTAAAAAAAAGTATGGTATTGTATAAATAAGTATTCTGGGCCATGTCATATAATTTGGGCTGGCCCGTTAGAATATAATGACTATATAGGAGTTGGAAGGGGGGAAAGAAGGGTAGGCAGAACTTTGGATCTGTACTGGGACTTGGGAGTGTTGAGACTACTCGAAGTGTCTCTATCGTTTCTTTTCTTCTTTCCGTTCTCTTTGCACGACACTTTCCATCATCGGCCATTGTAATAGCTTATGTACTCAGTTTTCCAGAATTAATATACAGTAATTTTCTGGTTCCTATCATTGGTATCAGAGCATCCTTCCTGGAGCCTGAATCGATCGTCAGTTTCAACGACAATTGAAGAAGAAGATGGGCAATAGCGACAGTCAGTGGAAGGAGTTGCGCTATATGCTGCGCAAACTTCGTCACCGTCAGAGGCGACATAGAGACAGAGCTAGGAGCCCTCCTAGACATCGTCGATCAATTGAAAGCCAGTCGTCGTCCTCGCGAGCCAAGTCTCCCAGTGCATCGCAATCGCGAATTTCATCATCGTCGCTGGACTATTCTTTCCGTTCGAAGGCTTCTTCACTAGCGGAATCTCACGCCTCATCATCCCAAGTTGTTTCTCTCAGTCGTTCGCAGGTATCCTCGCAGTCATCACCTTTGGCCGTTTCTCCTTGTTCGCAGATGCGAACAACTTCTTCCAGTTCGCATTCGCAAACGATTCTTCTCGGTACGCAGGGTTGGTCGCCATTGGCTTCTTCCAGAGCGCAAGTGTCATCTGCATCTAGATCCATCCACCTCATAGAATCGAGAAAGGGCTTGTCGGTTGCACCCCCAGTTCCGGAACAGGAGCAGGAAGAGGATACTACTGAACCTACGGAATCTCCACCAAATATTCAGAATGATGCAAACATGCCTGTGAAGGAAGATAATGGAATGCATTCAGGTAAATCAGAATCAGCCCAAGTGGAGCCTCCCGTTTTGGCAAAGCAAGTGACGAAGGATAATTTACAGACTAGTGTCTTTGAACGATTAGTTATCACTAATTCAGATGAAAAGTTTGTTAGGGAAGAAAAGGAGAGAGTGATTACTGTTGACAGTCTTTGTGGGGGGGAATTTTGCAATGGGTGTGAAAGTGAATTGTCCTCTAGGACATATGTCAGGATTTGAAACAGTAGAGCCTACGAAAAAGTTGGAAGTGGAGTCTGAATTAGTCTCAGGTGTGCTGCGTTGCAAGTCCAAAAGGAGTCCATTTATGAATAAGAGAACTCGTGTTGAATCTAAACAGGGAATCCTCAGCTCATACACTACTGATGAACGTAACTGGGAGTCCTTCCCTGTACCTGTGATTCAAAGAGTTCAACCAGAGCTAGTTGGCTGGAAATTTGTTTCACAATTCACTTCTAAGAACTCTCTTACTGAACCTCATGTTGCACACACTATTCGGACTTGTGGAGAATCTGCTATCATCTTTAGAAACAGCACATTGATTTGTGATACAGAGAGGTATTTACGAACTACACCTGAACATTACCATCAGTTAGCTATCAAGTTGGGCTCAGGATCATGTCATTATGTGTACGTTGGTTCCAATAGAGGAGCTATGGGTATTGATGGCTTACGATTAGATGGTGTTACTTCTATGATGTGCACTCACCATGTTGGATATGTTACTGACGTTGAAGCGGACGTGAATCTGAGGCGGGTCAAAGATCTCTTTCCCGGTCTCTTACCAGATGCCATAATCGTGGATGAAGATGTTAAGGGGCTGCCAGCAGTTTGTATACATGTTCAAGAGGGGGCTGTAGGTTTTGGCTACCTGCTTCATATGGTTAATGCAGGTAAGTGGATCAAGATACTCAAGAAAAGAGAGGAGGATGGGGAAAATGGCTCTACAGAAACATCTAGTGTCTGCAGTCAGTTAAATGAGGATATAAATATTACTGGGTCTCAACACCCTGACCTGGAACTGGCTACATATACTCAAACAAAGACAGCACATCAGAACTCTGCTGTGGGAAAAGAAAACGACTCAGGAAGCAATGTCAAAGAGATAGAGAAAGCTCATAACAACAATGATGAAGTGGTGGAAGAAAATTGGATATTGACGAGTTTTTTTTATGCAAATGGGATTCAGAGTGTATGGGATCAAGATATCATTATGAATGCTCACAATGAAGAGAAACTAAAGCTAGAGAAACAAGCCTTACAAGCTGCACAGAAAGCCGCAGAAAGAAGGCCTGATATGCGAACTGTTTCTGACCTTAATATTGAGATAACAATGAAGGTCACATTTGATCCTTTTTATCATCCAAGCGATGTTGGAACCGATAACTGGATGGTTTATCCTGTTCATGGAGGTGTAATTGCAGCTGCCTTTTTGTGTGGTGGGGTTCAGGTTTTGTCAGGTTCAAGTTTCACCCTTATGGGTAACTACCATGTTAATGTGGGGACTGAAAATGTTGTTTCCATTTTCTGTACAACAAGTTGTTGTTTTTTCTCTGTTTGGCATGACACCAGCAATGATTGTTCCCTCTGGAAGCTAGTCCACGGTTTCCCACTCGCCCTTCCAAGAAAGCAAGTGACAGTTAACTCTACGACTTGGGAACGTGAAGTGGCAGAGAGGTTTTGGTGGAGTCTTTCAATGGAAGTTGATTGGAGGGATGCTATTGGGTGTACCCAAAAGGCGGCTGAAGATGACATTGTTACACTGGACAGCGTCATTGCGGTTATGTATGCAGAATCTGGAAGTAGCTTGGAGACAACTCTAGTAAATGTTACTAAATCAAACCAACCAGCAGTGGAAAAATGGGCTAAGCAGAACGATATAGCTGGAGATTTTGATGTCCTATGTAGAAGATCAGAGGTTGATAGGACTTCGCAATTAACAGAAGGAAATCACAGGTATATGAACAAAAAATGCAAAAGTAACCAAACTTCATTAACAGAGATGAACAGTGTACAGAGTCCCAAAGAAGGAGATAAACTCCAACTTCCCAGTCCCAGACCAAATGAGTCTAAACAGCCTTTCCGCTAACTCCCCCTTACATGTCTATTTATACCAGAATACTACATAAGCCCTTATTACTATTATTATTGTTATTATTATTATTATTATTATTATTATTCTTTCTATTATTAAACTAATAGGTAGGTCCCTATCAATACTCCCTCCCTAAACATCCACCTTGCCCTCAAGGTGGACGGTAGGAGACAGCCAAGATCTTCTGCTTCTTTTTCTTCCTTGGTCCTCTTCCTTCCCAGTACATAACTGTTTGCTGGACCAGAAGCTTTGGTATTTGTTCCTTCAAAATCACTGCAATTTCATTTGTTGCCGGAGCTTCCAAGCATTCACTAGCTGCAATTGTTTCCTTGTTTTCTTCTTCAAGGATTCTCACTTCTGAAGCTATCAATGTGCTGGATGCAACAAGCCCTATGCAATTTTTTCCATTTACAATGCACTCTGTCAGGCAGTTAGTATCAATGATAGAATCATTTGTAGTAGCAGGATTTTTCTCATACAACTTCCACAACCAACCTAAGTTGTGCACTACAATGCTACCATGCGATGTCAGATTCTGTAACTGCCAAGGACCCCAGTCTGGGCAGTTTTCTTCTTTCCACTCACTTATAAGAGAGCCAAAAACTCTTGCAGCCATAGAACGAACTTCAGGGACCACAACAAACTCCTTTATGTTATAAACCTGTCCTTCAACATTATTGCCAAGAGCAAACTTATCTGAGGAGCTCCAAGATATAAGCTTGACACGCTGGCTTTTAAAAAGACAGCATTCTTGACTAAATGAAACATCAATTGAAACACAAAAGGACCGCTCATAGGTATCTATTTCCCTGTAATCCTTAGCTTTGTTTTTGAGAAGAAATTCAATCAATTGCTCTAGATAACGAACAGACACACCACTTGCACATTGCACAATGATACAAAAAATGTCAGCAGTATTAAATTTACCCTTTATTATCATCCCAGGATTGACCTCTGAATGAGTGAAAATTGATCCTTCAATTGCACTAGTTTGTGGCTCATTATTCATCAATCGCATTGCTAAGGCATCCCAGAATAATTCAAAGCCTTCACCCACCAGATTTTGGTCTTGACTTTGAGTATAAGCAGCACACTTCTCCCTCCATGGAATTGATAAGTATTCTGTTTCAGCACGAGCAAACACTCCTGTCCTTTTTGACTTATCTGCGTTAGTGACTTCCTCCTCCAGCTCTTTCAATTCTGACAACTTCAACTCAGTGTTTCTTGCCAATGATGAAGAGCCTGCTTCAGTTCATCCTGTTACAGAATATTGCTCATTCTTTTCCTCTTCCGGTAATTCCTTGATTATTAATTCCGAGGACTTCAATTGGGTTTTCTTTGTCGACTGGTGATAATCTAGCTCAGGTTGAGAAACGTTCAACAAAAGCACTGGCGAACATAAATATTCCTCTCTTGATCTCGTTGCCCTGTTATGTGAATTCATCGCGATTGGGGATGCCTGTGGATTGAAATCTGTTGTTGTTGTTCGCCGCTTGCTAGGCGATGATTCCTGCGAACTGAATGAAGAAGTTCGTGATTGCAAACTAAGAAAAACCTTGCGCGACTCTGTTTGCGATCTTGGGAGCGGTGGTGACGAGCTTACTTCGTCATTTATCGGAGAGCGACGATAAGAGTGATGCGACGAACCTTGTTTGTCAGGTAGCGGAAAAGACCTAGTTTTCCTCGATCCTTCTCCAGGTCCTCTGCGATGCGAAGGATACGAAGGTCGCGATTCAGTCTGCGAACTTCCGCGCTCCCTTTTTTCTGCGATATTCCCCATTTTTTCGCGTGAAGCCTTTTGTGAGTGTGAAATAGAAGAAACAGTTCGCGACTCCTTATGCGAACCAGAAGAAACACTTCGTGATTCCCTCTGCAAACTGGTGAGCGACGAACTCTGTTTGTCAGATTTCCGATGATGCCCGGTGTTCTTCGATCGGTGCAAGCGCTGATTTATACGTTCAAAGTCACGTAACATTTCTTCCAACCTAGCGTTTGTCTCCTTCATAATTTCTTCCATCCTAGCGTTACTCTCCTTCATCTGTTGGTTCGTCTCCTTCATCTGTTGATTCAGATTGTCAAATCTTTCTTCCATTTGCGGTGTCATATAAAATTCCTCCATCTTTCCGATGATTCAGATTCTTCGTCTCCAGGAAGTAGCTCTCTGATACCAATGATAGGACTTCGCAATTAACAGAAGGAAATCACAGGTATATGAACAAAAAATGCAAAAGTAACCAAACTTCATTAACAGAGATGAACAGTGTACAGAGTCCCAAAGAAGGAGATAAACTCCAACTTCCCAGTCCCAGACCAAATGAGTCTAAACAGCCTTTCCGCTAACTCCCCCTTACATGTCTATTTATACCAGAATACTACATAAGCCCTTATTACTATTATTATTGTTATTATTATTATTATTATTCTTTCTATTATTAAACTAATAGGTAGGTCCCTATCAGAGGTGAATGAAGTGACGAGGAAGATTCAAGTATGGAAGCTCCTTGTCCAGCAAACAGTGAGATACTGGGAAGGAAGAGGATCCAGGATCAAGATAAAGTTCAAGATCAAGGCTGTGTCCTATCACCCACCTTGAGGACAAGGTGGTTTTTCAAGGGGGGAGATATGATAGGGCCATGGGCCGTAGAGAATAATAATAATAATAATAATAATAATAATAGTGATAGATTGATATTAAAAAAAGTATGGTATTGTATAAATAAGTATTCTGGGCCATGTCATATAATTTGGGCTGGCCCGTTAGAATATAATGACTATATAGGAGTTGGAAGGGGGGAAAGAAGGGTAGGCAGAACTTTGGATCTGGACTGGGACTTGGGAGTGTTGAGACTACTCGATTACTCGAAGTGTCTCTATCGTTTCTTTTCTTCTTTCCGTTCTCTTTGCACGACACTTTCCATCATCGGCCATTGTAATAGCTTATGTACTCAGTTTTCCAGAATTAATATACAGTAATTTTCTGGTTCCTATCAAAAGTCTTCACCGGAAACAGCCTCTCCACCTCCAGGGATAGAGGTGAGATCTGCATATATCTCACCCTCCCTACAACCCTACTTCCAAGTGGGATATAGTAAGTTTGTTTGGTTTGGTTGGTACTTGATAAAAGAAATAAATACTATGACTTCATACTGGTGACAAAGAATACATAAAAATTAATACATGTTTGTAGAGTCTAAAAAAGGAACCACAGTAAAACCAAACCTTAAAAACTTGCTTATCCAATCCATATAACAAGGCTATTTGCCATACATAAAAATCTCCATCAAGTTGGAACATGGATATTGATTATGGCCAACTTGTTACACAAATAATCAACCCATGTTATGTTCATTTCTTTGATAATGCGGTCCCTAAATTATTCACAGGCCTCCCTATGTCTTTGTACCACATGGCAAGCTTTTAAATCAAGCAATGGGCAAGTCATTAATATCTTTCACAGCAAATACTCATTTACATCCTTTGGGCTCTTCTGCTACTGGTTATGTTGACCAAATACGTATCTGATATTCGTACTAAGTATATCAACAGGTACACGATATGAAACATTGTCAAAGATAAACTGTGTAAATGTATTTTGCAATTTTATAGGATTACAGTACAGCTGCTAGTCCACTACATCTTCCATAGTGCTATTTCAATAAATTTCTTACAAGGACAACTAATGTTGAAAGAGCCAAGCATATGGACAGAGAAAGGCTCAAAGAAAAGTACAGGATTACAGGGAATGCCAAAAATTATCCCTCAAAAAAATAAAGAAGGTGGCTCATATACAACCACTTAATTCGTAGTACTACCAAAAGCTTTCTCTGAACCTCTCACTACCAACTTAATTCATTGTGAACTTCTAATTATTCTTAGTCTGAGAGCCCATGCTCAGCAGGTGTCTAATTATGTCCAGATGGATAGCCAACTTCTGCCCAACATGCTTCTACTGTTTATGTTTCAAACTTGCCATGAAAAGTTATACAATTGAAAAATTAATTATATTTTACTATTCAAGAATTACTAAGAATGGTCCTGTGGTTGACTATGGTTCATTAGGCAAGGATTTGAAAACCACTTGAAAAAGAAGCTGAACCATACAATCATTATAAACAAATGACACGCATAGGCTCTACTTTGTTGCAGATGAAATGTTGAATGTCATCGAAGACGTATTTATGATAAAACCAGGGGCTAATGAATTGAGTCTCCCTAGTCTGACAAATTCAAAGAAAAAATCTACCTGGTGATTCAAAAGTGCATGCCTCAAGCTTTTGCATGATGTTTCCACCAAAGCCCGAAAGTGAATTGGGTTGTAAAAAAAATTATTGAATGACACCACAAAGAATGGGTTTCTAGTACCTTTATCTGATGCACTTCCATTGAAAATGAACTCTCAAAGAGAAGTGCAGGAAGAAAAACAGCCAATAAAAGGTCAGGATCAATATTTGCCCCTGTGGACCAACAATTGAAAATAACAATAGGAAACTGCAACATGGGCAGAGAATAGATTGCACCATAAGAAAATTGGCTTCAACTAGAGCAGAATTAAGTTGCACTTACAGATACGAATCCCATTCCCAATCTTTCCAAGCTGATTATGCTTTCCATAATCTATGCCATGGTAGAAACCAGTGAGTACAGAATTTAAGTAGAAGAATATAGTTAAGAGCAATACAACCAAAATTATGTCCACAAACCAAGTGTATTTCCACTCAAGGTTAGAAATATGTAGCCCAAAATGGTCTAATTCATGAAAACCCAATTTAAATTCCAACTTTCCCCTGATCTTGCTTCAGCACATCAACTGAAAACTACCCACGTAAAGTATAGTTGTGAACTCTGAAGCCCATAACTGAGTGGCAGAAGCAATTATAAGGTGATCCATTTCATAGACATCAAAATTGTTACCAGTTCATGACAAGCATAAAGCGTATAAAACTACAACAACAACATCCAAGCCTTAGTCCCTGTTGAAGGTAAATCCCGTAGATCCGAAAGCCCAACACGAACTTTGGATATATCAGGAATGGTACAGAATCAAGATATATAACCGAAATATAAAATATGAACTCACTAATACTCGAAAGCTCACTTGTATTAATTAACCAGTCTGATTACAAGGAAATTCCCGATCGGTAGGTCGGAAACAATGCTTTAATACAAGAAATAAGAGCAATAATGTTATTCTAGAGCCTGAGTATTGAAATGCTAACCCTTACAATGATTTTAAATCTTCTATTTATACTAATGGAGAGCATGGGCTGCTCTATGTTGATTGGCTATTGTTCCACCGACTTGGTCACCCATGTTTCCACTTGCTGATGTCACAATCTGGCATTGATTGCACCTGGCCACTTGCCGGTTGTCCGTTGCTCGAACGGGATGTTGGACCATGCTGGAGACGATGTCAAATTGGCCCAAGTATGATATATAATCCGAACTCCGTTCGGTATATCTTCTTTCTGGGCCGGCCTTTACTTGGACCGAACTCCGTTCGGTATATCTTCTTACTGGGCCAACCCTTTCTTGGGCCGAATCTCGGTCGGCATGAATTCTTCATAGAGTGATGGGCCCGTCGTCCGGGCCGGGTATCTTGGCCTTCTTGATCCGGGTATTGGGCCTCTGGATTAATATCCCAACACAAGCCCCCCACTTCCGATGTCTCGAATGATAGTGAGTGCATTAGGAAGTATGAACACCAATGTTTGCAATTTACCGAATGGCGATCGGGGTACAGAAGTAGTCAGTTCCCCATGCTGTGATTTGACGGCTGCCGTTTCATTTCCCCATATTCATCGTAGTAACCGTCGTTTAGTCTTTTCATTAGACACGCGTTTAGCTTAAATGCTCCTAGTGACGTGTTGCTCCCTGATTGGTTCTTGACACGGCGGTTTCAAGGCTATAAATTAGCCTTTAACTTCTCAAATCCGGGTTTCGATTCTGCAATTCTCTTCGCCTTGCCGGTTTTCTAAAATTTCTCCCAGCCCTCGTCGTTCAGGTACTCTCCCTCCCTTGCTTTCTCGCTTCATCCCTAACTCGGTCGAGATGAATTCCCAACAGTGTTCTGATTCGGAAATGGCTTCTCAAGGGGAGGACCGTGATGTGGAGATTATCACCGTCCCTTTTGATGAAGGTTCCAAGGCAACGACGGCGGAGGTTAGGGCGGAGACGGGCGACTCCTCTGGCAATTCTTCTTCCTCCAGTGAAGATTCCGACGATACCAAATCCGAGGACGAATTAGCTTCCATGGCGGTCGGACGTCCCAACGATTTCCCTCGTCATACCCTTGACCTAAAACTGATTAGGGAGAGGCGGCAAAAACTGACCTCCCACAATAGGGCCGAAATTCCGGCCCTTATCCCTGACCCAGTGAATTTCCGGCCCGGAATGATTGTAGTTCATTTTGACTCAATTAGGGTCGGCCTTAGGTTTCCGCTACATTCTTTTTTCATTTCATTTTTCAATTTCTATGAAGTTGTACCGGCCCAAATTATGCCGAACTCCTATCGGGCAATGGCGGGTTTTATTTGCCGTTGTAAAGATGCCGGTGCCCGACCAACCTTAGAATTCTTCCATCAATTTTTCAAGGTAGCCCCTCAACAAACCCACGGCTATCTGGCCACTAGTGCCCGAACGGGACATATTCTGTTCAAGGGCAATCCAACTTCAATCAAAGGGTGGAAAGACCGTTTTTCTTCGTGTCTGTCCCGGACGGCCTAATTCCCCGCAAATGGAATGCCTTCCCCCGCAAGACTCCTGATCCAGTCCTTACTGAAGAAATTTACAAGGACGTGCTTGCTATGGAGAAAGATAAATGCATGGACATCATGAGTTATCTGACTCCCGATCGGCTCGTTGAAGCCGGGATAGGTACTGCCCGTTCTCTTGGGTTTACTTGTTTTGAGAAATCAAGTGCCATGGTCCGGGCGGTCCTTCCCGTGCGAGAAACGTTCTTTTTTTCTTTTTTCTAGTTTCTCACACGCTAAGGCGCTCGATACTAACATTTTCCTTTGTCATTTTTCAGCACCAAACCCAGATCTACCCATGGATAATAGCAGAGTTATGACAGCTGGTGGGGTTGGTAAACGGAAAAAGGCCAGGAAGAACCCCCAACCTACTCCCTCTACTGTTACTGCTCAGGATGTTGGGTCTTCTCAACCAGTTCCAGAGCCACAGCCGATAGAGCAGGTCCATCAGGACCAATTCGATGCCATGCTGGTCGATGATCGGTTTGGCTCTGATCAACTGCAGCAATTTACCGAGCACTTCCAAGCTGCTCAAGAAACCGGCCAGGGTGCGGGTGATATACCCACCGTCCAGTTATCTGGCCAGGTTGACCGGATTTCCCTGGCGGATCCGGTTCATGATGTTGTAGAAAGAGGTGGCTGTTCAGCAAGCCAGATCCCTTCTTTCTTCTATGAAATGCAATTCGGCCCGTAGATTGTCCTCATTCTGTTCTGGGCTGTAATGCACCGTTCGGTGTGTGGGAACTAGGATCTCCGTTGGTACTTTGTCCTGGAAACCATAAGCAAGGGCCAATGGAGTTTCTCCCGTGGACGTTCGGGGTGTAGTCCTGTAAGTCCATAAAATATAATTTAACTGATCAGGCCATGATGAGGAGTGTTCTTCCAGCTTCTTCTTCATACCATCCATGATAGTACGGTTCATATTCTCTACTTGGCCATTCGCCTGAGGGTATGCCACGGATGCTCTGGAATGTTTGATTCCCCATTTGATCAGGTAGTTCTCAAAATTCTGGTTTACAAACTGCCTTCCATTATCAGTTACAATCTGCTCAGGGATTCCGAACCGGCAAATGATATTCTTCCAGACAAACTTTTGACATTTGACATCTGTGATGCTGGCCAGTGGCTCGGCCTCTACCCATTTGGTAAAGTAATTTATCCCCACGATGATATACTTGTTGTTCTCAGGGGCCGTAGGTAGAGGACCTAACAGGTCGATCCCCCATCTTGCGAACGGAAGGGCCACCGTCATTGGAGTGTAGAAAGTGGCAGGCCGTCCGGGGACCGGTGCGTACAGTTGGCATACCTTACATTTCCTAGTATGTGCAAAGCAGTCTTGTTGGATAGTCGGCCAATAATACCCTTGCAGGATGATTTTTCTGGCCAGTGTCTTGGGCCCTTGGTGGCTGGAGCAGATACCTTCATGAATTTCTTCCATTACGGCCGCCGCTAGATCGGGTGGGAGGCATTTCAAATACGGTCCACCAAACGTCTTTTTGTACAGCTGTCCGTCCACTAATTCGAACATGGAAGCCCTCCTCTGGATGCATTTTATCTGATAAGCAGGATTTTTATCTTGTGGGAGGGTTCCGCCTTTCAGGTAGTTGGTCATATCTATGACCCAGCTAGGGATGGCATAAGATATGGCCTCGATCTGGAGTACCATGGTTGCTGGGGTTGCCAATGTTTCTCGATGGGCAAAACGTTGGATATGAGCTGGATCTCCTGTGCCCGATCGTCGAACGCTGCATTTTCTAACTTGGATAGGATATCTGCTTCAGTATTCTCTATCCTAGATACTTGGTCGAGCACCACCTATTCAAATTTGCTTATCTGTTCCTCAACTATTTCTTTGTAAGCCTTCATTCTCTCTTCTTTAGCCTCAGCAGTGCCGTTTACTTGATGTACTACCAATTGACTATCCGACCGGACTTTTAACCGATCGGCACCCAGGGCCTTTGCATATTTTAAACCAGCAATAAGGGCCTCATATTCAGCCTCATTGTTGGTTACCTTGAAGTCAAAATGGATGGAATAATATGCTTTGAAACCTTCGGACGATGTGATCACAGCTCCAGCTCCACAACCCTTGGCACTAGCGGCACCATCCACATACATTTCCCACCAGTTATCCAGCCCATTGTTCTCTGAGTCTGTTTCTGAGGGTCGGGCGGTACATTCTGCAATGAAATCTGTCAGGGTCTGTCCTTTGATAGTAGGCCGAGGCTTGAAATCCACCTCATATTGCCCGATCAGGAGGCTCCACTTGGTAATGCGTCCACTTGCCATCGGATTTCTCAAGATGGTGGCTAGTGGCTGAGTAGTATACACAGTTACCGGGTGGGTCTGGAAATATGGTGTCAGACGTTTAATGGCAGCTATCAGGGTCAGCACTGTTTTCTCTAGCAAGGTGTACCTGGTTTCCGGGCCGTTCAAAGCCTTGCTTACAAAATAGATTGGTCGTTGAACGCCATCTTCTTCTTTCAACAGTACCGTGCTCACTGCCAGGTCGGCTACAGCAAGGTACATATATAGATGTTCCCCTGATTCGGGTTTTGTCAAGACCAGGGGGGAAGACGGATATGTCTTGAAATCTTCAAAGGCCGTTTGACATTCGGCCGTCCATTCAAAAGGGTTGGCTTTCTTCATGATCTGGAAAAATGGAATAGCTCGATCGGCTAGCTTGGATAGGAATCTGCTCAGGGCTGCTAACCGACCGGTCAATCTCTGCACTTCTTTGAGATTTCTAGGAGCCTCCATATCCACAATTGCCTTTACTTTTTCAGGATTGGGCTCAATCCCCTTCTCGCTCATCATGTATCCCAAAAATTTGCCCCCTCTTACAGCAAAAGCACACTTTTTGGGATTCAGCCTCATATTTGCTTTCTGCATTATCCCGAACACCTTTTTTATATCCAGGACATGATTTTCCTTCTTCCTGCTTTTGATCAGGATATCATCAACATAAGCTTCCATTGTGACCCCCAACACTTCTTTGAACAGCATCCCGATCATCCTTTGAAAAGTTGCCATTGCGTTCTTTAATCCGAATGGCATGACAATATAGCAAAACACACCATCCGAAGTAACGAACGCTGTTTTCTCTGCATCAGGTGGGTGCATGAATATCTGATGGTAACCCCGGAATACATCCATGAAGCTCAGTAATTCACATTCGGCAGTTTCATCTACTAGCAGATCGATCCTCGGTACTGGATAAGGGTCCATGGGGCAAGCTTTATTAAGATCCGAGTAATCCACGCACATTCTCCAAGTAGATTGTTTTGGGGCTAGGACCACATTCGATAGTCATTCTACGTGGATTACTGGACGGATGTGTTTTATTTTCAGCAAGGTGGCCACCTCCCGTTTTGTGAATTCCCGCCGTTCGGTTGCTTGATATCGTTTCTTTTGCTGGACTGGTTTTGCATCAGGCCGAACGGCAAGTTTGTGACATATTATCTCCGGGTCAATACCTCGCATATCTTCTGGCCCCCGGGCGAACAACACCTGAAACGTTTTTAGGACGACAATCACGCCATCCCGGATGTCAGCCTCCAGATCTACCCCGATAGCTACCTTACGGTTCGGGGGGAAATCCAGGTCGATTTGCTCGAGGAGAGTGGTGGGTTCTGGGTGTGCCTCGAACTCCGTTCGGTGGGTCTCCACCTCAATTGTGTTAACCCGCATTCCACGAGTGTTCATCTGTTTTAGGGCCTCTCGGTAACATGTCCGGGCTGTCGTCGGATCAGTTCTGGCCACCCCAACCCCGGTGTCAGTGGGGAATTTGATGCATGAGTGGCGGACAGAGGCTATTGCCTCCAGATCTTCCAACCCCGGTCGGCCCAATATGGCATTGTGGGCACATTTTATATCCACCACCACGAACGTCATTCGGAGTGATGCTTTATGCGTTTCATCCCCAATTTCAACCATCAATTGGATGGTCCCCTCAGCCTCAATGCAATTACCGGTGAAACTTGCCAGTGGGGTCCTTAGGTGGGTCAGTTGATTTCTTTGTAGACCCATTTTCTCGAATGATTGTAAATACAATACATTCACACTGCTTCCGGTATCGATCAGTACTCGGCGGATCAAAGCATTGTCAATGCACATGCTCACCACCAATTCGTCTCTGTGCGGGCTTAGAGAGTTGGGTAAATCAGCTGGCTCGAACGTGATCGGGTCCGTCCTTCCTTTCTTCTGGGGGGAGTGGAGATGGATCCCACATAGAGACTTCGCTCGAACCTTTTCCGTTCGGCGTTCGAATCCCCTGTCTCCCCGCCCCCAAATATAACCTTGACCTCCATTCGAGGTTTCTTTCCGGGGCCTCCCGAGCCCTCTGGTTCATCCCTGGGGGGAATATATACGTCATTTTGAGGCTGGGCATCACGTTGGGCATCCCGTCGCCAGCTATTAGGTTTCCTGATCGGTTTCAACGTGCCCACAGCATTTGGATCCTTATTCACATATTTGCCCAGATGACCCCGTCGGATCAAATCCTCAATGGCCGTTTGTAGGGCCCTACAGGCGTTGGTGGCATGACCCTTCCTATTGTGATATTTACAAAAAGCAGAGTCGTCTGCTCCCATAAATTGTGAAGAATCAGTCGGGAGGGGAATATTGTCCCTCTCGTGCTGATAAATGGTCGCTACTGACAGGACCAGGGGGTAAATCTCCCTTGCTTGGGAGGTATAGCGGCCACTGAGCTAGGACCCAGCCGATCGGCCATTCTGATCGGGGCAGCAGGCGCAACGACCTTATCCCTGATCATTATCTCCTCTTCTAGGGCAGCACGCTTGCGAGCTCTGTCTAATACCTCGGCATATGCTGTACCCGGATTCTTCTTCAAATCCTTGTATAACTCTCTCGTTCGGAGAGCATTCGTGAATAGGGTAATGGCGGTATCATCCGTCATGTTTCCCACTGTCAGAGTTTCATCCTTCCATCTTTTTAAGAATTGATTGAGGGTCTCTTTGGCGTTTTGCTTCACGCTGGTCAGGTAGCTGAAGTGCCGTTTCGGATTGGCACTGGAAGCGAATTGGGCCAAGAATAACGTCGATAATTCGGCGAAACTGTTGATTGACCCAGGTTGGAGTGTCCCGAACCACTCCTGGGCGGGCCCTCTGAGCGTACTAAAAAACAACCGGCAAATAGCAGCCTCGGGTGCTCCTAGTAGCATGAGTCCCCCTTGGTAACTCCTCAAATGCACATGGGGATCTCCCACCCCGTCATAGATTTGACCGGTCGGTGGTTTAGCACCTCCTTGGATGTCCGCATACATGAGTTCCTTGGTGAAAGGGGAAGTAATTCCCGGTTGTACAGGCGCCCTGTTCATCTGATCTCGCATCTCGTTCATCTGCCTCCTCATTTCAGCCATTTCTTCCTCCTGGGCCGTCAAAAGGGGGGGTGGTGGGGCCCTCATGTCTGTATAGTCCCGGTCCCAATGCCGTTGAGCGGCCCTGGTATTTTCCCGTTCGGCATACTGGAAATGATGACCGATAGGAGTTGGTCCCCTGGCTTGTGATCCGATCGGGGTTCGGTCACTGGGGCTATGATGCGCTGTTGGTGGGGCGCTATGGCGATTATCCCGATGGGCATGCGAACGGGATGACGCTGTGGTTGTTTCCGTGCGTGGAGTCTCCCCTGTAAAGTTGGACCCTCCTTCCTCCTCGTTTGCCATATGCTGCATGACCTGGGCCATATCTCGCATGGCCTGAGGATTTCTTCTTAGAGATTCAGGAATCAAAAAATCCCCATCAAAACGAGGATACGATCCTCGGCTGGATTGTCCCTGAGGGGTTTGATTCCCCGGGGTGTGACTCCTTCCGTGACGGCGTGAACCGTCGTTTGTGTGGTAGGAACTGATTCTGACCATTTTCGAAAATAGTGGTTTTTAGGATGATTTGAATGTGAAACTTTTTGAACAGTTTCCACAGACGGCGCCAATGTTGAAGGTAAATCCCGTAGATCCGAAAGCCCAACACGAACTTTGGATATATCAGGAATGGTACAGAATCAAGATATATAACCGAAATATAAAATATGAACTCACTAATACTCGAAAGCTCACTTGTATTAATTAACGAGTCTGATTACAAGGAAATTCCCGATCGGTAGGTCGGAAACAATGCTTTAATACAAGAAATAAGAGCAATAATGCTATTCTAGAGCCTGAGTATTGAAATGTTAACCCTTACAATGATTTTAAACCTTCTATTTATACTAATGGAGAGCATGGACTGCTCTATGCTGATTGGCTATTGTTCCACCGACTTGGTCACCCATGTTTCCACTTGCTGATGTCACAATCTGGCATTGATTGCACCTGGCCACTTGCCGGTTGTCCGTTGCTCGAACGGGATGTTGGACCATGCTGGAGACGATGTCAAATTGGCCCAAGTATGATATATAATCCGAACTCCGTTCGGTATATCTTCTTTCTGGGCCGGCCTTTACTTGGACCGAACTCCGTTCGGTATATCTTCTTACTGGGCCAACCCTTTCTTGGGCCGAATCTCGGTCGGCATGAATTCTTCATAGAGTGATGGGCCCGTCGTTCGGGCCGAGTATCTTGGCCTTCTTGATCCGGGTATTGGGCCTCTGGATCAATATCCCAACAGTCCCAAAAGATATTGGGGTCGGCTAACATGAATCGATACATGATATTACCACCAAAAGGAAAAGAAAGAAAATAAAGATAAAAAAGATAAGCTATGATAAAAAGATAATATAAAAAGAGATGAATATACATAAAAATGATAAAATAAAAAGGATACAAATAATGTTTATATATATATAAGGATAAAAACAAGGAAAAAAGATGAGGGGAAAAGATGATACGAGATCACTCCTCCACACGAATACCCGCCCTCCACTTAGCTCTCTCCAAATTCATGCCCTCATCCAACCCCAGAAGAAGCATATCACTTCGAACTCCCCTAACCCACGTCTGTTTGGGTCTTCCTCTCCCTCTCTTCCCTGCCTCGTCTGACAGGTGCATCACTCGGTCTTCTACGCACATGACCAAACCACCGTAGGCGCGACTCCCGCATCTTGTCTTCAATAGGTGTTACTTCCACCAATTGTCTGATTGTCTCATTCCTCACGCGGTCCTTCCTAGTATGCCCACACATCTAACGCAGCACGCGCATCTCTGACACCAAAAATAGGGATGCAACTCATATGCTTGCTTTCTTCTTCTAGGAATCATTATTTACGCAGCGCCTCCGATTCACACTTTACTTCTCATAAAAATCATTTTATTTCTAGTTCATCATATTAAGAATTGGAATTCCGTTAAGCTGAAAGGAGCAAAAGAATCTTGAAATTCCTGTGTATTAAGATGTGCTTTAAGATTTGGGGTTTCATTCTTGAAGGAGCAAATCAATCTTGAAAAGCGCATGCCTTTTTAGTATCTTTATATTTGGCAAGGATGGCTTAGCACACTAAAACCATAAGGCATTGAAAACATGTTAAGGCTGGCATAATTTACGCTTCTGTTTTATATATTTGACTAGTATCTTTATATTTGGCAAGGATGGCTTAGCACACTAAAACAATAAAACTACAGGGCAAAGTCATTTATGTAACATTGAGAAAGGCAACTAACCCAAGGCTCCGAGGCCAATGCCAACGACTAGCAAAGCAACCGTGTAAGGCACTCTGGAACCCCTCAGCAGATGCCTGCAAGCTATCCCTAACACCAAGCTGATACCCACGAAGATGACTGCGTCAGTCGGGTTGGAATCGGAACCCGAGTTTGCCTCTTCCAGCACTCTAAATGGCAACGTCACCATCACCAAGATGGAGTGCATGCTGGACACCTCCTACTCGTCTGCAGCAGCTTAAACACATTGAATTAACTGGAACTGGTGGACAAGACTGACAAAATACAAATAAGCCGTGAAAAAACTTATGACACTCAAAGATGCTGCCCGTGCGTTAGGGTGGGGTTAGAGTCAGCCAACGTGGGTTGGGATTTTGGGTTTGCACATACATAACTGAACCTAAAATTGAAAGTGAAAATTGATGGGGGGAAACCAAGAACGTGGACACACAATATTATATTAAAACAAAAGTTTTGCTTTTAGCTGCTACCTGCTGAAAAGAACTTCAAGAACATGGTCAGTCATGAATGGACAACAAAAAGTTAGAATTAAAAGCTCTATGAATCAGGACGTTAAAATTTCAGCTAAAATTACGGATAGGATCATAACCTGTCGGCTTACAGCTGAGGGCTGAGAAAGACCGATACAGGGGTGAAGATCAGAGACAGGAGAGGAGGAATGCTTGGTCGAGTAGTGTGACTGGGAGCTGTAAACTGATAGTGAATGTGTCGCAGAATTGATGGCCACCAGACAAACTGCTTGACTTTCAGTGAAAATGCATTTAAGCGGTTCTATCTAACATAAGGGTCCCACAAGAAATGCCAAACATAAGGCTGGCCGCCATTTGCAAATGCCCTGATAGCCGCCTTTTGCAAATGCTCGCTAAGAGCAATATTCCTCTCATCTTATTCTACTTGTTCTCTAATACCGGGTCCTCTTTCCATTTTGGTATGTTCTTTATTAGTTGTGTCTCTTTTCACTTTTGGTAAGTTTTTTCAATAAATATACTCAGTTACCCTCATTCTCTTTCCTACTTTTTCATTCTCTTTTATACTTTTACCTTTACACACAACTCACTACACCTTTTATCTTACCCCTATTAATTCCTTCTTAAATCTTGTGTCAAAGGCTATACTCTCATCTATTAGAGAATGGAGGGAGTATTACTTACTCCATATTCTTTATTTTTATTTTATTCAAATTCGATCAGATCAAAAAATTCAGACCAGATCAAAAGCATTCATATCGGATCAGAAAGATTCAGATCGAAACAGATCAGAAACATCCAGATCAGATCAGAAAAGTTCAAACATGATTTATCACTTTTATTATTATACTACGTAATAATTATAATAATAATTATTATATTATTATGATTATTATTATTATAACAACAACAATAGTAGTAGTAGTAGTATGATAATAACCATAAGAATCATAATAATAATAATAATAATAATAATAATTAATATAATAACTATTAAATATTGAGTAGTAGTATTATTATATTGAGTAATTATAATTATATTATAATTATAGAAATAAATATTAAAATCATAATTATAATTATAATTATAGAAATAATTATAATTAAAATATAGTTACAATTGTAATTATAGCTATAATTATAATTAGTGTAATATCTATAATTATTAGAATTTTAATTTTATTTACAATTATTATTATAATTATCATTATAATTTTTTTAACTATGATTATAATTATATTTAAATTATATTTATAGTTACAATTATAATTATAATTATAATTATTATAATTAAAAATATAATTACAATTATATTTATTTATAGCTATAATTATAATTAGTGTAAATTGGGTGAATTCAAATTAATGTATGTTTAATACTATCTGATAGAGTATATGGACTCGGACCCCCGGTCTCATGACTATTAGGCCCGGACAGCGGCCCACATACGCTCAGTAGATAACATTTACATTATTGTACATTATTATTATTCGGGTGTCCTAGATTAGTCTTTTATGTTATCGGTCCTTTTATGTAACCGGATCTGTCGTGCCCATATTAGAAATCCAGACCCGAATATGTCTATATATACTCCTTTTGGAGCTTGTAAACCCTTGAACAAATATTATACATCCAACATTACTATTCATTTTTTATACTTTGGATATCCTATTATCCATCAATGGTACTTTCATTGAGAATTTAAGCATAATCAAGTGAGAAATCCTCCCAAAAACCCAAAGAGTTAATCTCAATCATAGAAAATTAAGCCAAGAAACTGTCTTGAGAAAATTCAGAAGGAAAAATCAGGGATTTCTCATATTTGAGCGGCTGTGTGCCGTCGTGCGAAGCTCATCGGCCGCTGCTACTCGCTGTGCCCACCTTGGATCTGGCCGCCTCTTAAGATCGCCTGCCATGCTCCAGTTTATACCTGCCATCGCCTCAAATGTCCCTGCGAATCTGAATCTGTGGCCTCCGTCCACCTTCTCTACGCAGGCCCCCGTTGTTGCCGCCTGCATCTCGATCTTGAAGAAGGGAAGGTTTTCCTCCATCCATGACCGCTTAAAAGCTTTGGGTCTATAAGGGCCTACTCGGCGGCAGCTACAAATTAGAGCTATCTTCCTTCTCATGCCACAAGTCACTGACCGAGCACCCCCACAGTATCAACTCTAGGCACCCCGACGGGTCGTCCCTCCTCCATCAACCGGAGGCAATGCAGGTGTTAGAAAATAGAAGAGGTTGTTGGTTGTATGAGTAGAATAAGTGATTTTAGTGAGGTGTAATGTAGATGATGTGTTTTAGAGGAGAGCTCTTGTCTCTAGAAAAGTAGTATTGTATTGATGTTTCTTGGTTTTGCTTGGTTTGAAAATGAGTACAATGAGTCCTATTTATAGGAGCTAGAGGATCATTCTAGATCCTTATTAAATGCTATGATTCTAGAGTATTCTACATCTATGTCTAATTACTCTAGATTTTACATAAGAATTCTCTAGTAGAGAATTTTCTAGAATACTTTCTACCTTTAACTCTCTAGATCATCTCTAGCCTTTTCTACATAGAATATTCTAGATAAATGCATCACTATTTAATACTCCTCCTTGATGCATTTGTCGGTGACTCCAAGCATTCTTCGCAGAAACTGGAATCTGTCTCTTGGCAGGGCCTTCGTGAAAATATCTGCCAATTGTTCTTCTGTTGGGCAGTACTTCATCTCAATATGCCCCTTTGCTTGGACATCTCTCAAGAAGTGATACTTGATATCGATGTGCTTAGTACGATTGTGCTGAATTGGATTTTTAGCCATCGCAATAGCTGACTTGTTGTCGCAAAATATTTGAGTCGCAGAACTTTGCAATTCTCCCATGTCTTCTAATATTCTTTTTAGCCATATAGCTTGGCACGCTGCTCCGGCTGCTGCAACATACTCGGCTTCGGCTGAAGATAGTGCAACAGAATCTTGCTTCTTTGATCCCCATGAGAAAATTCCCGAACCCAGCTTAAATGCGTAACCGGAGGTGCTTTTCATGTCATCTTGAGATCCAGCCCAATCACTGTCGCAATATCCAGTTAGTCGTGAGTCAGGAGTTGTTTTGTACCAAATACCATAATTGATGGTTCCTTGTAGATACCTAAGGAGTCTCTTTGCCGCTCCATAATGAGTCTCAGTTGGACTTTCCATGAACCTCGAGAGCAAACTTGTAGCATACATGATGTCCGGCCTCGTAGCCGTTAAGTAGAATAGACTCCCAATCAAACTTCGGTAATTGGTTGCATCCGTCTGCTTTGACCCATCTTCTTTCTTCAATTTTTCATTAGGAACCAGTGGAGTAACGACGGCTTTGCAGTCTTGCATTTTAAACTTCTTTAGCATGTCCTTAATATATTTTTCTTGAGATAAGAATATGCCTTCTTCTTCTTGACTTATCTCCATGCCAAGAAAGTAGTGCATTAATCCCAAGTCACTCATCTCAAAAGTGTTCATCATGTCTCTCTTAAATTCTTCAATTAATTTGGAATTATTTCCCGTGACAATTAAGTCATCAACATATAGAGAGACGATGAGAATGTCAGATTTACCTTGGGATTTGATGTATAGTGTAGCCTCGTTCTTACTCCTCCTGAACCCTTGACGGGTGAAGTATCCATCAATCTTGCTATACCACGCTCGTGGAGCTTGTTTGAGCCCGTAAAGCGCTTTCTTTAGACGAAGAACTTTTCCTTCTTCTTTGATGAATCCTTCTGGTTGCTCCACATACACTTCTTCTCGTAGCTCTCCATTTAGAAAGGCTGACTTGACATCTAGCTGATAAATTTTCCATTTCTTTTGAGCAGCAAGAGCTATGAGTGTTCTTATTGTGTCCATCCGGGCAACTGGTGCAAACGTCTCTGTGTAGTCAACTCCCGGTATTTGAGCATACCCCTTTGCAACCAGCCTTGCCTTATGCTTCTGAATTGAGCCATCGGGGTTCAGTTTTGTTTTATACACCCATTTGACTCCAATAACCTCCTTGTTATGTGGAAGATCTACCATTTCCCAAGTATCATTCTTTTCTATCATTTTGATCTCCTCCTCCATTGCTTTAATCCAAATTTTTTCTTTGGAGGCTTCGGTGTAGCTATATGGCTCCAAGGAGCAATAGTTGCATGTTTCATAGATGTCAGTAGACTCATATAGGTCTGCTAGAGTTCTTACCCGAAGAGGTGGGGACTCTGGTGAGGAGTCGTGATTTCTTGATGTATTAGCTTCAAAAGAGGATCTTGGAGTAGACGTGGGGCTTTGTTGATCGTGATTTTCCTCTTCTGGTATTTCCTCTAGTTGGACAGTAGTTGTCTTTCTTTCAACTTTTTCTGTCTCCCAATTCCAAGAGGCTTGCTCGTCAAACTCCACATCTCGACTTGTCACCAACTTCTTTGTCTCGAGATTGTAGATTCGATATCCCTTGGATTTGGAGCTATAGCCAAGGAAGATGCCCTTCTCTGTCTTGTCTTCTAATTTGTGCCTTTTAACAGAGGGAACATGAATGTAGCATATGCTTCCGAAGACCTTCAAATGTTTGGCTGAAGGCTTTTGTCCAGACCATGCCTCAATAGGTGTTTTGTTTAAAACCGCCTTAGTTGGACACCGGTTTAGAAGATAGACTGAAGTATATACTGCCTCTGCCCAGAACGTTTTAGGCATTCCTTTTTCAGCTAACATAGACCTTGCCATCTCCATGACTGTGCGGTTCTTCCTTTCGGATACCCCATTTTGTTGTGGAGTGTATGCTACTGTTAGTTGATGCTCTACACCTTCATCTTCACAGAACTTGTCAAATTCTTTTGAGTTGTATTCGGTACCTCGATCGCTTCTCAACTTCTTGATTTGATGACCACTCTGTTTCTCCACGAAGTTCTTGAATCTCTTGAATATTCTAAAGACTTCGGATTTTTCTTGGAAAAAATACACCCATGTCATCCTAGAGTAATCATCGATGAAGAGTATGAAGTACCTGTTCTTCGAAACTGAAGGCGTGCGCATTGGACCGCAAACATCGGTGTGGACAAGCTCTAGTATCTGTTTGGCTCTCCATGTCTTTTCTGTTGGAAATGGTTGCCTGTGCTGCTTCCCAACCATACATCCTTCACATACTCCTTCTTTTTCATCCAGTAGAGGCATGTCTCTCATCATCTTCTTTAGGTGTAGTAATCTCAAGGCATTGAGATTGAAGTGCCCAAATCTTCGATGCCATAGACTCGTATCACTCAGTTGAGCCACCATCGCCTTTTGTGGATATTGCCATTGAATAGGAAAATTTCTATTATTTCCCATTTTTACTTCAGCAATTTCTTGATTATTGTTCTTGTCATAAATTCGGCAAGAATTTTTCTCAAAGTGCAAGGCATATCCACTTTCCATCATTTGGCCAACACTTAGTAGATTTTGTGCAAGGCGTGGCACTAGGAGAACGTTTCTAATAAAGCGCGTACCTTTCTTTGTATCTATGACAATGGTACCTTTCCCCTTTGCCTCCACCAAATCGCCATTGCCCATCTTGACTTTTGTCTTGATAGAGGTATCTAAGTCATGGAAGATGGTCTCGTTGGATGTCATGTGATTGCTGCACCCACTATCGATGTACCACTCTTCTTCTTTTGCTTCTATGGCTGAGTGACATGCGTAGAACATGTACTCCTTCTCCTTAAAATCTTCAGAATAGTTGGCCTGATAGTTTCTTCTATCTCTGCAATCTTTTTCTTCATGCCCGAACCTCTTGCAATTTCTGCATTGTGGCTTTCCTCGATGGTAGCAATCTTTCTCTAAGTGATTAGTCTTCTTGCATATTTTGCATGGTGGAAAGTTCGTCTTCCTCTCCTTGTTGTTAGAATTCCCATCTTTATGTGGTTTAAAGTTTTCACCATTTCTCGAGTGATTCCTTTTAATGTTGAGCTTAGACTGGAAGGCACTTTCTAATGAACTTTCGTGTCGTCTGTTTAGCCTTTGCTCACGTGCTTCTAGCGACCCCATTAATTCAGTGATGGACATTTTTGATAGATCTTTTGACTCCTCAATAGCCGAAACTACTGGATCATATTTTTCAGGGAGACTGATTAGGACCTTCTGGATTATTCTCTCGTCGGTTATATTTTCTCCAAGAGTTCTCATTTCGTTGACTATATGTATAACCCGAGAGAAATAATCTTTTGCCATTTCAGAATCTCTCATCTTTAAATTTTCGAGCTCTCTTCTTAAACTTTGTAATTTAATAGTTCTAACTTTCTCATTTCCTTGAAATTCCTCCTTAAGAATATCCCAAGCTTCTTTTGCCGTAGTAGCACGAATTATTCTCGGGAAAATAGTATCACAAACGGATTGTTGAAGAAGATAGAGAGCTCTAGCATTTTGCTGTTTTTGTTTCTTACGTACCTCGGAAGTTGATGCGTCGTCGCTTCCTTTTTCCGGCATGATGATTCCTTCTTCAACAATATCCCAGAGATCATGTGATTCTAGGCAAGTCTTCATACGGACACTCCAATAGTCATAGCTTTCTCCATTGAACATCGGAGTTGATACCGAGAAGTTTGATGTCGTCATAATGCCCGCTTATGATCGAACAAGCTCTGATACCACTTGTTAGAAAATAGAAGAGGTTGTTGGTTGTATGAGTAGAATAAGTGATTTTAGTGAGGTGTAATGTAGATGATGTGTTTTAGAGGAGAGCTCTTGTCTCTAGAAAAGTAGTATTGTATTGATGTTTCTTGGTTTTGCTTGGTTTGAAAATGAGTACAATGAGTCCTATTTATAGGAGCTAGAGGATCATTCTAGATCCTTATTAAATGCTATGATTCTAGAGTATTCTACATCTATGTCTAATTACTCTAGATTTTACATAAGAATTCTCTAGTAGAGAATTTTCTAGAATACTTTCTACCTTTAACTCTCTAGATCATCTCTAGCCTTTTCTACATAGAATATTCTAGATAAATGCATCACTATTTAATAGCAGGCCCAAATTAACTCTGGGCAGTCTTTGTACGTCCCTATCCTCCTGCCACTCCGGCCGAGGGCCACCCAACGGCGACCATAGATGAAGATCGCTGCTTCTTCCTCAGAAACAACAGGCGGGGTCCAGCTTGCGGCAACCAGTGCTGAAGGCGTCAGAGTAGAGGTCTCACGGCAGGGAACTACGGAGATTCTGGCAGGTTATCCTTAGCGGTGACGGGTTTTGGTGCGGTGCAGCCATGTAGACAGACGGTTGGTGTTGTCTTGTCTCCGCCGGTACTAAGCAGACTTGAGCTTTTGATGCTCTCCCTTTTCTATCAAGCACGATAATTGAGGCCAACTTTGTTGACCCAATCCACTTGTGCCATGCTCCAGTGGATTTAGAATTCAGTCAGCCACATTTTCGATAGTGTGCAGTGTCGTCCCTACATAAGTTCTTATTACAACACGC